ATCAGCTCTTTCCAGGTTGGCCCAAATGTTAGTAATCACATTAACACAGTCATCACCATAAACTACCTGTATTCTATTGTGAATCAAACTGGAGGGATTCCTTGAGAAAGTTAAAACTTCAGTCTCATAGTGGGTTGCTTAAAGCATACTGAGGAATACTCATTACAAGCTTTCATTTCATGAATAACCCCAACAACTCTTCACCAATTTAAGTGAAAGAACAGATACTAAAGAGCTTTGGGTGAATCAGTGCTGCCATCTGTTGGTCACTACAACATTGGTGACATATTTTTTTTTACTAATCTAGTTGAAGGAAAATAATTGCTGTTTTTTTTTTAAGTACTACAAATGATATGGTGATATATAGGCTCATCTTGCTTACAAGTTGTATATGGCTCCAAGCCCAATTATGATTGATAACTTTTCACTAGAAATTAGGTAGAGATATTTGACCATCAAGTTCCTGTCAAATCTTTCTAAGATTTTTGAATTCAAAGTCTGAATACATTGGTACTGATGCTCAGTATTCTAAACTGGAGTTTCTTTTATTATTATTATTATTATTATTATTTTAATTTCTATACCGCCCTTCTCCCGCAGGACTCAGGGCGGTGCACAGCATATTAAAAACAGATACAATAACAATATACAAAAATAAAACCCTTCTAAAACCAAATTAAAAACCAAATATTAGAGGCTGTGTTCCAATTAAAATTATACTTAAAATTCTTTATAAAACATAATGATAATGCTATTTTATTTTCAGTAGAAGTGAACTGAACACTTAATGGTACTGGGTTTAGGAGATTTTGGGAGCAGTAGTCAATTTTTATTTAGACATAACCCACAATTAACAAAGCCATATGAAGCAATTAGGGCAAGTGATATAATTTTATATAATTTGTTTCAATTCGTACACTTAGACAATTGATAGCTATTTGTCTTTGTTATTTGTGTCAGATTTCAACATTTACTTTACAGAGATGATAAAGGTAAATATTTTCCCTTTTCAGTTGTCTCCAACTCTAGGATGCAGGTGCTCATCTCTGTTTCTTAGCCAAGGGAACTAGCATTGTCCAAAGACACTTATACGGTCATCTGGCCAGCATGACTATACATCAAGGCACATGGAACACTTACCTTCCCATTGAAGGTTTTACCTATTTATCTACTTGCATTTACATGCTTTTGAAGTGCTAGGTTGGCAGGAGCTGGGGTACGTAATGGGAGCTCACCCCATCATGTGGTGCTTGGGTCTTTAACTGCTAAGTCATCATGTCCCTCCACAGAGATATAAAAAGTCAATTAGAAAATTACATAAGTAATGGGATTTTGGATTCCCAACATGGTCTGTTAAATTGAGGTTTTTCTGTACAAACCTTTACTGGAAGAGTTTGTCTCCTCTTTTTGCTTAGAGTTAAGGAAGGTACATTTTGTAAAGCACAAGATATCCAAGTTGCTTCTGGTTTGGCCCCCAAATCTATTACAATGAGAGGAAAAATATAATTTCATACACAGTAATGTTTTTCAAAACTTATTTAACTATAAATATTAAATAACTATATATGAAATATAGTTAAGTTTATGAATATGATTAGATTTTATGAGATTTGGAATGTAATAGAAATAGTGAAATTGTAGGGGAAGAATGATCAAGCTTAAGATCTGACCTCCCACTCTGGAGTAGAACGGGTACCACATAATTCAGTCCTGCTGTTGGGAACCACCATTTATCCATTTGGATAGATCTTATCAGCACATTGCTGACACACACAGCTGTACCTCAAGATAAGACAGGCAGGATAAGGTATGCTGCTTTATCCTGCCATCTGGAGGTTGTCAGAGACAGGAAAATCTATTTTGTCATTGTTGCAATTTCTTTTGGAGGACATAATCATTGAACATATTATAGAAGCCAGCATGAATTAGAATCAAAATATACTGTTAAAATATTGGATGATATCTGATTACAGTCTAACACTAATAGAACAGTTTTTATAAAATGAATGGGAAAGCTCCAGGTATTTGCACTTAGAATAAAAGGTGACTTATAAAATTTACAAACATAATTACTGTGTTGTACACATGCTAAACTACAATGTAGTTAATTGCTAGTTCAGTGTGTTATGTAAAGTCAGGAAGAACAGTTATTTTTGGATCAATCTGTGTGTCAATGCTTTGGGGTTAATCCAGTAAACAATGGTTTAATAAATCATGGATTAAGACAATGCCAGCTGCAATACATATATGTTGGAAGCAAATGTAGTTTTGTTTCAGTAATAGTAAATAAATTTCAACAGTATTATTACATCCATAAGTGAATGGGTCTTGGGTTTGCAGTACCATATTTTTTCTCTGGTTTTGTCACCCACTGTTACATTCACCCGCTGTTTATTGATTCTTTCAGATATAATATAATACAATTAATCATGAAGATCAGTAGGACTGAAATAAAAAGCTAATATGTGCCTGAATTGTCATTTAGTGCTATGCAAACAGAATCACTCACTGTTTTTCTGTGTTTTTCAGTCCCATTTCTCTACCATGTGACTCATCTAACAGGAATTTAAAGTTATTTGTGATACTAAGCCATGGTACCTTAATCATGATTTACTGATCAACATATACTTGGTTGATTTGTTCAACATGAAAGATATGCCATAATTTACTCACAAGCTAACAAGGCACAGTTAGCAACTAGAAAAATGTTCCACTGAAATGATCTAAACTTGAACAATCATTATTTTCCTACTTCAGGAAACAACTTGCTACATTGGCTTGAAATGCCATGTTAGTATTAGCAAGGCAGCAATCTTTTTTTTTTAAGTTTTTTATTTATAATACAGTTTAAAAAAAAGTGGACATAACATAACATTCCAGTATAAGTATTTCTAACAATTTGTTCCTCTTCTTACATATAATTTTTTATCTCTATATATACATACATATTTTTCTATACAATATCTAATTTCTCTATTTACTAACATACAATTATATATATTTCTATCTTAACACTAGATTATAACCCGGACAGTCCTCCTTGATTCACACCAATGGTAGAATTTTTCCCAGATTTCAAAATAATCTGACTCTGTCTTGTCCTTCATTTCCATTGTGAACCTGTCCAAATCTCTTCTTCTGTTGGGGTTTCTTTATTCCTCCAATTTTGTGCAAACGCCAATCTAGCAGCAGTGAGAATATGTAACATCAGGTAAAGTATCCCTTTATCATATTTCTGTGTAGTTATGCCTAATAGGAATAGTTCTGGTTTTAGCTCTATCATTAATATTTCTTCCAGCCATTTTTTTAATCATTCCAAAAATCACAAGCTTTTGAGCACTCCCACCACATATGGTAATAGGTCCCTATTGCCAATTTGCATTTCCAACATGTAGATGTAAAATTTGGAGCCATTTTAACTAAGCTTGTGGGTGGGAGATGCCATCTATAGAACATTTTGTAGAGATTTTCTTTGTAGGAGATGGCCAAGGTAAGCTTCCTATTTCTTACCCATAATTCTTGCCAGATGTGCAAATCAAAATTGAGACCAAGATCCCTACTCCACGTTAACATGGTTTCTTTCACCTGTTCCTCATACATTGAGCAAGGCAGCAATCTTGCTTGTATTTAAGATTATTGAAGTAGCTTGCTAGGAAAGGGTAAGCCAGCAGAACTCAGAAAACTGATTTGAATAAACCAAAAAACCACATATTTATTAGGATCCATTTCTCTATTTACATTTGCTACAAAGCTTATATGTTTTTTCTAGTGATGGTAATACAACTGAATTGCATCCAGAGAATACTAGTGACGAGACTTTGCTTTTAAATTATAGCACTGCAAAGTGGCCTTGGAAATACACTGACGGGTGCAATTAGCTCAAAAATTAGTGAGCTCGATTTTGTAACTAGTTTCTTTAAAGGCAAGGTAATCCCACTTAGTTGCCAGAAACGGGGAAGGGACAGAGCCAAAAGGCTGCTTTGAAGAGAGAGAAAAAAAGATGCCCAACATAAGGCCATTCTGCATGTCTCGCAGGCACAACTGGCACTTCCGAATCCTACACAACATAGTAGAACTGGAGAACCCCGTAATCAATCAGGATAAGGAGACCCGTTTCCCTCCCTGGATCCACGCCTATTCATTCGCAAGCAATGAACTCGCGCTGAAGGCAAAAAGGCAGCCTTCTCGCCTAGCAACGGCAGGACTTGCGCTCCCGCTCAATCCGATCCAAGGGAACGTTGCGGAGCCGCCCAATAAGAAGGACGACTTAAAGCGCGTGCGAGACAGCTGAGGAAAAAAAAAAAAAGGGGGGGGGGGAGGCGGAGAGGCTACGGCAGGGGTAGGCAACCTTGGCTCTTTTATGACTCGTGGACTTCAACTCCCAGAATTCCTGAGCCAGCATGGCTGGCTCAGGAATTCTGGGAGTTGAAGTCCACGAGTCATAAAAGAGCCAAGGTTGCCTACCCCTGGGCTACGGGGAAGTAGGACGCCGTTAAAGCGCCGCCGATCTTCAATCAGGTAAGGGAGGAGTTTGAAGGACCGTTGCAACAGCGAATGGGAGCCCAGGGATGACCGGTCGGGGAGGCGGGGTTTTCTGGACGCTCCTCCCTCTCCCCTCTTCCAAGCTTGCCGGTCAAATCAGGTGGCTTAGGATGCGCGGTCGGCGGCCCTGGCGGAGCGCGATGTGGCCGTGGAGGGGCTGCTGGGCGGCGTCTCTTCTCCACGGAGGGCTGTGGCGCGGCTCCGGCCTCGGCGTGCCTTCAAGGGTGGACCGGGAGCCGGCAGCCGCATGAGCCAGAGGCAGCTTGCCCCGCGGGCAGCCCTGCCCCCTAATGGAGGAGCCGTTCCGTCTTCCTCCGCTCCTCCCGCGCAGCCCCCTGCAGCCCCCGCCGCCGGGGGAGGCTGAAGGGGGGGAGGCGGCGGCGGCGGCAGCGGCCAGCCCCGCTTGGGGGAAGGCGGAAGCGGCGGCCTCGGGCGACAGCGCCGACGGGGCCGGCCTCTGGACGGCGGTCTTCGAGTACGAGGCGTGCGGCGAGGACGAGCTGAGCCTGCGTCCCGGCGACGTGGTGCAGGTGCTCTCCAGGGACTCGCAGGTCTCCGGCGACGAAGGCTGGTGGACGGGCCAGATTGACCAGCGCGTCGGCATCTTCCCCAGCAACTACGTGACCAGCAGCGCGGGCGGCGGCAGCGGCGGCGGCCGCCGCCTCTGCCTTCAGGAAGGGAGGAGGTCGGATCTCCAGGCCTCGTACCCTGCTAGTCCGGCCATCCAGTGTAAGAAGGGAAGGCGCGGGCCCGGGAAAACGGGGTGGGGGCGGCGGCGGTGGTTCAGGAAGATGCCTCCGCTGCTAAACGCCGGGTTTAATGCCTGTGGATGTTGGGGAGAGGCTGAACACCCCCCCCACTTTTTCAGTGCATAAGCCTATGCCAGGGGTAGGCAACCTTGGCTCTTTTATGACTCGTGGACTTCAACTCCCAGAATTCCTGAGCCAGCATGGCTGGCTCAGGAATTCTGGGAGTTGAAGTCCACGAGTCATAAAAGAGCCAAGGTTGCCTACCCCTGGCCTATACAGACGACCACTGGGAAGCCCCTTTTGCCAGTCAGAGCTATGACACAGGGGAAGGGTTTGCGTTGTGCTGAAGAAGTTTGCCCAGGGTAGACTGGCCGTGCGTGTAGGCTGCGTGCTTTTGTCCGTTGGGTAGGAATGTGACCCCCCTTGACTCGTGTCTGGAAACTTCATCCAGGGGTGGCCTTTCTCCCATCTTAATGAGACTGCAAAGACGTGATCTCGCTTACGTTTTGCAGAAGACAATCAGACACTTCCGGAGGAGGGAGGGGTGTGGCTATATTTTATTCCATTGATGTTTACCGCTCTCTCCCCCCCTCCCTTTAATCCTCTTTCTTGATCGGAACACCAGTAAACTCGGAGAATTGTGTATTCTTCTTCCCCATCCTCTTGTTCTGTATTCTAGATAAAATAATCCAACGCCCCGCTGCTTCAAACTAGGTCACGTAATTCAACCTAAATTACATTTTACTGTATAACTTGCATCTCTGAAAACTCTGCACTCAAGAATAACAACCGGTGTTGCCGAGTGTCAGATGGTATACTAGTTTCATAAAGAATAATAACGGCGTACGAGGGTAATTGTGTCAGGAGAGAAACATTTTTCATTGTTAAATGGGTCATTATTTTTTTTTGAAGGAAACTTGGTAGTCTCTAAGCTTGGTTGTTATCTTGCAGACGTTTCATTACCCAAACTAGGTAACATCGGTGCTCTTAGGGGGTCCTTTTTTTCTTCCTCTATAACTTCCATACTCTTTATGCCCAATTTGTTTAAATCTTAATAATAACCTGGTTCAGTTCCACATGCTTTTTTGTAGCTATTTTAATAGTTATTTAATAAAGAGAATTTGTGCTGATGTCATTATAAAAGATGTAATTAAATTTTACTACAAATTAGCAAGATGATTTTCCTGTGTTCATTAATTTGATACATGAGGAGGATATTTCAGTAGTTCTTACTAAAAAGATATAAAGCTTCTTGTTGTGTTTGAGTGGTTTGTCCCAACTGCCAAAGCTTCTGTAATTTCCCCTTCTTTTTCCCTCTGATCCTACTGCCTCAACACATGAACTGTTCAGTTTTTTTGCTTTGCTCTGCTTAAAAACTTCAGCAGAGGGCATTTATGTTTTTCATCTAGATTTTTGTTCCAGGATGTTTTCTATCAGACTACTTTTGTAGTATTTCCTTGTAAACAAGTGGCCACAACTGAAATGTGTTAACAGTGCAAAATTCAGTACAAACTGTTAGCTTGTCTTGTGTGGAATAGTCAATCTTTTTGGATTACTGTTATACTTTATCGCCAAAATCAAGATATTTGAAAAAGAATGTTAGACCTGGCATTTTTCTTTCCTTTTGAAATTCTAATTTTGCAAATTATTTCATTCTTACAGCTTAAACATTTTCAAGAGAAAATAGAGATTAAAAATACAATATATGGGAAACTTATATCCACCTCAAAAGGGAATAGTAAATAATCTGAAAAAAGGAAACTACAGTAATTTTGACACTGCTGCCTCATTTTGGTTTTGAGATCCATCTTGTCCTAAAGAAAGCAGCAATAAACAAACTAAGTTCTTCTTCTTTGCCCCTTTGCCTTTCTGTGGGAAAGAATATGCAGAGTGTTGCTTTGAGACCATTTAGTGGTAGCATTATAATTAGTAGTGTGTTAGGGGAAAAAATAGAATCTTATATGCGGCACTTTCCAATGATACAAAACCATCTATTTTCAATTGTAGCTATTCAGTTCTTACCTATGTAAAATTGATCTGACTGCAACCGACAAAAGTTAAGTTACAGGGTTTTTATTTACATAGCATCCACCTCACATAGACAACTTTGGATGGCTTACAATAAAATAGGTAAAAACAATAAAACGCATAATATAAAATAAAAAATAGAAGCTAAGTTTCATAAATAATGACCTGTAAGTCCCTTCTTATGTTTAAACAATATTTCTACACTGTCTGATGCAGTATAATCTTGCTGTTCTTTTCATACACAGAAATACAGTCAAAAGTCTACTCAGAAATATGTATTTGGTTACCAACTCTTTTTGACTACACAACAATTTAAATCTCTAACCTAGTAATGTAATCAACAGAAAACACAGTTAAATAATCAAAGCTGGAGAATTTAGTTTAACCATACAGAGATGATTTGGCATAAAGCCAAATGTACATCTCTCTCTGTGTATATACAATATATACATAGCTCTTCTCTTAACCTTTTAAAAAATCCTGTATCATTTATAAGTTATGGCAATCATTAAAAGTTTTTTAGTCTACAAAAAACATATGCTTCAGATTGCTGTTGAGAAGTTTAGCAAACGTTTTATGTTATCACCAAAGGAGCTGTCCATTCAGCACCCATTAATTCAGAACCTTAACTTTCTGTCCTTATGTCCTATGATACATTACTGAAAACAACAATAATTTTAAATGAAATGAAAAAATTCACTCCTTTTAATTAGCAAAAAATATGCAAGAAGTTTGAGCATGTTTAAGCTTTTTAAACAGAGAATTCAGAACTATAATTTCAGCTGTTTCTTTTTTCTACTGAAGTTAAACTTAAAGATCTTAACTTATTATTTCAGTTGCTAAAGATGTTTCCTAGTTCAATGTCTTTTAACATTAAATTCGTATGACTATTTGGACTTCTAAAGTTTTTCAGAATGCTACTTTTTGCTTTTATTCATTGATATTTCAATAGTGATAAGTCTTCATTAGATGGACTGCATGAATTGTAGTAACTAACATGCTGCCCTTCTTCTTTAATAACTACTTGAATTTTGGTAGTTAATATTAAAACAACCAGCATATTTCTTGACTGCTGGTTCCTTTGCTATAGATAGATGATTCTAAATACAGAAGCTACCTGTCATTTTTATATCTTCATTGTCAGTTGTAAGTGAATTTGTCTACTTCTCTTATAAAATTGGCTAAATCATTCTTTAAATCATTTGTCCTCAGCAAATTGTTCATCACACTGCTTATCCAAGAATCCAGATTGAGGTGAACAAGATGACTGGGGTTGGCTTTCAAAAGCAGTGTTTACTTCTTGTCATTGTAACAACATTTCAGTAAAAGTTATTAGGAAAAGTATTGGCCAATCTTCCCAATACTTCAGTGTCAAGGATATAATATAGGCCATGTACATTAATCATTTTAAATTGTATCTTTATTTTTACTTTTCAAAATTGATCTTATGCTTAAAATTGGTATTTTTCAATTCCAGCAAGTGAATACAAAAGGAAATTTGCTATAAGTTTCCCAGTGGCTATTTTTATGTTATTTATGTTTATATTTCATGACAGTATTTTTATTCCGTTTTTATCCTATTTTAATAGTTGTTGCCCCAAAGTCCTGTATATAAGATGAAACTATATAAATCTAATTAAATGAATAATAGTACCTGCTTTTAGACTTCCTTGGAATTATTTGGAGCATAATTTGAGCAGCAGCCTGTAGTCTTTATTATTTGCATGTTTATAAAATTCCTATGAAAAATCAAGAATATATTCTTTTTGTGGTGGAATTACAGTATTAATTGAAGGCTATCAGCCAGAAAAGTAGAACAACATACAAATATTATAATGCTATATCTCAAAGTAAATGATGCCATAAGATATCTTCCTTATCACCAGTATGATGAACTTCCCCTTCCTGATGCTCACACATGTGTTACATGGAAAACTGAGTTCTCAGTTAGCAAGCTTCTTCATTTCAACTTTATTGTCATCAGTATCCAATCATGTGTCCCATCTTATATGGCATAGCCTCTCCTGGTGACATTAGCATATGAGTAAATTTGTGCAGAGAAAAATAATTCAGGTATCTGGGCATCAGCTAAAGTATTTAGATTTTGAAGGTAAGAAGTGGCCCTTAAAATTTAGATTGGAAACACACTGAAAACCAATGCAGCTGATATGACTCTGTTGTGTTATGACTGGGCTCCTGTTTATAGGTTTGCAGAGGTTTGTCAAGGATATACCCATAAGGAGTACAATACAGTTGTATAACCCAGACATGCAACTGTGGCTTTAAAATGTAAGCTGCCTTGAGCCTTTGTAATAGGGAAAAGTAAAATATAAATAGACTGTTCTTAATACTATTGCCTTCACCTAATACTCCTTCCTCTTCCTAATTTCTCCACAAAACACTCTTGTGAGGTAGGTTGAGATAAGAGAGAGTGGCTGGCCCATCTTAAAGCTTTACAAAAGTGTTTCATATTTCAATATGCTTCTTATATTGAAAGGGTAATAGGGAACCTTGATAATCTCTTTTAACACAACAATATACTATATGACACTGTTAAGCGGATACTTAACAGTGGCATACAGTATATTGTTGTGTTAGCATAATTCTTTAGGGTGAATGCAATACACATAAAGAATGAGTGTGAAATAAGTTCACATCAGTATTATTTCAGAAAGTTTTCAGTGCAGAGTTGGAATATATGATCAATAGCAAAGGAAAAGCCCTTGTTCTGGGCTCTGTTCTTTCCTGAAAATTGATCTGAATATTTTTATGTAGGATAGCTTATAACAAAAAACATGTTTTAGAAGGTAGATTTCTGAACGAATGGTGGAGAATGGAAGGATTTATATTCCTTGCAATCATCTGGCCGCTAGCGCTGTTTGTGAGAGTCGTTGAGGCCACTTGGAGGTTAATCTGTGCCCTTGGGGGTCACCTGAATAGTGCAAATGGCTATAGAACCTTCTTGGAACTGCTGAAAGGACTGTGTTGTAAACAGGAGATAGGTAGTGTTGTACCCCTCCCCCTCTGTTGAGAGAAGGTTGTTCAATCTTAATGTAACATGGTCTCTTTGATCCTTCTTTCAAACCAGCGGTCCTCTCTGCCCAAAATGTGGAATTTGCTGTTTTCAAAAGAGTGGCCTTTGTCTTACTCTTTTGTTACTGCATTCACCCTTCAGAAGCAGGGTGACTAATTAAAATTAGCCAGAAAAAAATAGTATAAGCAATTGCTTCTTAATGCATAGTCCACTTTTCCCTAACTTGTCTTCCCTCAGTTGGGTGGATTTCAGTGTCCAGAATCCACAACCTGCATTGTCATTACTGAAAACTCTGAGATTAAAGCCATAGATCTTAAGGCACTAACTAAAGATCAGGAAGATTGGCAAGAATGCATCTACTTTTTAAAACAAAATATTTACCCATAATAAAATCTTCATTCTTCAGGTACAATATTGCAGTCTTATTAGAACATGATAATATAAAACATCTTCCTGGGAAGTAATTTAAATTGTGATTTTAATGATTAAAATACGTTTTTCTGAGCAGTGATTCAGTTATATTTGATTTAAATTAAATCTGCCTTTTTCAGACACATTCACAATATTGATTTAATATATTTTTTTCTGAGTATTTCTAGCAGTGGTAAGGGTGCAAAATGAGCTGACTCATATTTCCACTAGGTAAATATTTCAGCAGTCCCTTCTCTAAAAAAAAGTCAAGGTTAAATCGTATCAGTAAATGAATGGTGCTGATAGTAATTACTGTCTTAAATCATCTTTGTGGAACTTAGATATTTTTATTTTGTATCCTAGTGCTGGAGATTGACTTCTCAGAGCTTATTCTGGAGGAAATTATTGGCATAGGAGGTTTTGGGAAAGTTTACCGTGCAGTTTGGTTTGGAAAGGAAGTTGCTGTCAAGGCAGCTCGCTATGATCCAGATGAAGACATCACTGAAGCTATTGAGAATGTCCATCAAGAAGCCAAGCTCTTTGCTATGCTAAAACATCCCAACATAATTGCCCTTAAAGGTGTATGTTTAAAGGAACCAAACCTTTGCCTGATAATGGAGTTTGCCCGTGGAGGCTCATTAAATAGAGTGCTTTCTGGTAAAAGGATTCCACCAGACATTCTGGTGAACTGGGCTGTCCAGATTGCTGAAGGAATGAACTATCTCCACGAGGAAGCAATTGTTCCTATTATCCACCGGGATCTGAAGTCCAGCAATAGTAAGTGGAAATTTGGAATGAAATGCCAGTAACTTTCAGGAATATTGGGCATAAAATAGTATTTAAAAGTTGTGAGATCACCTATGTCATCACCAGATGGATAGCACCGAAGAAATGTTAGAAAACAAATTTCCAAGTCTATAAACTTGTATGTAGAAATGATGAATAGAGACATTTCACTCTCTCTAAGGAAATGATTAAACAAAAATAGAAAGAAAACCAGAACCCCCTCTTTTTTTCAATTTAACACTTCTGCTAACAATTCCTCCTTTGTCTTGAAATTTTGCTGACTGAATTATTTTCTGTCGCTTTTGTTTACCACATTTACCAAGTTGTTTGTACTGTAACACAAAGGGAAACCTTTAGTGCTTACGACAGACTAGAGGGAAATGAATTGTTCTTCCTTCCTTGGATGTTACTGGCAATGACAAGAGAGATAGACGAATGAAGGCAAATATACGTGTCCTAGGATATTTGTTGCAGGATCCAATCTGAGTCGATCACCAGGACCAGAAGTTTAGCTTTCAGATCCGTGCTGGAACCCATCCTCAGGGAACTTCTCTCTAACGGAATGTGACTGACCCAGTGACCAACCCAGATTGGATCCTGCAAGAGTGATACAATTTTTTTCAGTGTCACGTATTTTTTCTATATTAGTTAGATTTATTTTTAATTTTTGTAATTATACTTTTAACTTTGCAATTAAATTATTTCTGTAGACTTGTGATCTTATTGAATTGAAATTCAATACAATTATGGTATGCTGATGATACCCAATTATATCTTAAATCGGCAATATAAATGAGGCTGTCAAGGTGCCATCCCAGTGCTTGGAGGCTGACCAGGTTTGGATGATACAGGGTTTTAACTGCCTCTGACTTCTATCCTGAATGGTTGTGAGTGTTTGGGCACCCAGATCTGGAGGTTGACCTTAGATGGGAAAGTACTTTCCCCTTCAAGTTTGCTGTGCTCTCTGAGTATTTTCCTGGATTTACAGCTCTTGCACGAAGAGCAGCTGTGGCCAGGAAGGCCTTTGCACACACCCTTTGCTAGATTGGCCGGGGGGGGGGGCTTTCAGATAATCACTCGTACCCTAGTTACCTTTTAGCTCAACTACTGCAATGTGCTCAAGATGGGGCTATCCTTGAAGACCACCTGGAAGCATTAAACTGCTCAGAATGTGGCATCATGAGCAGTAACGAGCACCCCTCAGTATGCCCATGTACCACCTGTGCTTCACAAGTATGGTTGCCAGTTTACTTCCAAGTGCAATTTAACATGCTTGTTGTTTCCTATAAAGCTCTACATGACAAAGGGCCTGATAACTTGCAGGACCATCTGTATCCAACAGCATTGTTCCAGACAATTTCATCCCACAGAGTTGGTTGTTTTGATTTTAAAATGTCACCTATCAGGATCCTGAAAGTGCACTTTCTCTGTAGCAGCACCTTTTCTCAGGAACAATTTGGTTGGTTCCTCCTCAGTGTGGTTTAGAAGAGGCATGAAGATCTGGCTGACCACTTTGGCAAGGGAGAGTAAGATTCCTTGCTTCATCATGCATACCATATTTTATTTTTATTTTTTCATATTTTATTTTATTGCAGTTCTTTGCTTGATCATTGTGAGTCATTCAGAATCATTGAGAGTTGGATACTTGGATGGCATACAAGTTAATAAATTATTATTATATACCTTCCTTTTCTGCTGCTATCAGAAAATTACCTAATTGAGGCTAGGCTAATGTTGAAAGGCAAGCCTGAAAACATAAGAAGATAAATCCTTTGCGCTCATGAGATAATTGTAATTTATGTAGATAAAATTTAATGGAGTGTCTTTTCAAAAGAAAGGAATGCAGTATCTTGTGAACTTGATTAAGTAATGTGATGGATTACATGTGGGCAGGAATCTAAAAATAGAAATAAATCTTGAAACTAAATTCATCTTAAACATATTTTAGTTTACCAAAATACTCAGAGGAATTCTAGATCTTTAAAACTTCTTTCATTTACATCAGAATGAGGATAGTTCAGTTTTACCTATTGAAATGACTCTTGGAAAGTCTGATATCAAGGAGAAAAAAAGTCACCTTTATCCTTATTTTTTTAAAAAAATATTGTACATGTGCAGCATGTTTGAATTAATCCAATTAACAAAGTAACCAATCTGGATTTCACACTTAGGAATTCATGACGTAAAGCTAAAAATAAAACATTTTAGTCTATCTATAAAACATAAAATATCAGCATATCATAACATCTTGTGCACTATTTCTAATTTAAAAGCCAAGAGTTATAAAATCAAAATAAAGAGAAAAGGAGAAAAAGGTCACATTTCATTCACATTTCAATATAAATTTAAAGTGAAATTACAGTGTTAATAATTACTCAAGATTTATGTATGGATCATATTGATTCAAAACATTTAAATTATATCAAAGGCTTTTTCAGCTTCCAAAGAAATTATAATTGAATTAAAGCAAAAACATCATTTAAGGATCTGATACTTTCTGTCTGAAACTTAATAGTTCTGTAGAAACAATACTCTGTAATCTGTAATCCAGGAAATAGTTGTATAATTAGAACATACAGTAGTCCCTGTTTGATTTAGGAATAACTGTGATATTTGTCTGATTAAAACATAAAGGCAGGGGTACATCTAAAAAGTTTTGAAGATATACCTATGCATCCTTTTTATATGAATTGAATGGACACCATCAGAGCCAGAAGTAGATTTAGTTGCAGGAATTGGCTATGTCTAGTCAAGGACTAGAGATGACATGATAGCAGTGTTTCAATATTTGAAGGGCTACCAGAAAGAAGAGGGGGTCAACTTATTTTCCAAAACATCTGGAGGTCGAACAAGAAGCAATGGATGGAAACTAATCAAGGAGAGAAGCAACCTAGAACTAAGGAGAAATTTCCTGACAGTTAGAACGATTAACCAGTGGAACAACTTGCCTCCAGAAGTTGTGAATGCTCCCATGCTGGAAGTTTTTAAGAAGAGTTTGAACAACCATTTGTCTGAAATGGTATAGGGTTTCCTACGTGAGCAGGGGGTTGGACTAGAAGACCTCTAAAGTCCCTTCCAACTCTGTTACTCTGTATTGTTAAAGTGAAAGAGGGTACCAATTGTAGCATCCACTAGTGGAACACCTTTACCCCAGACATTTAGATAGCTGTGATATTACTGATCTTTTAAAAACAGTTAAGAGGAAAATTGTTCCAACATTCTTTTGTCTGGAAAATCATAAAAAAAACTATTGCAGCTGTTGCTGTTGTGTTATTACTTTCTTTTTGTTTGTTTATAAACTTGTGTGCTAGTCAGGGTTCTTTGTGATTAGGGCATATGATAAATATAAGTAATCCTCCTTTAGTGACCATTCGTTTAGCAACTATTCAAAGTTATGACTGCTGAACAAGTAATACTTATGACTGGTCTTCAGAATTCCAGCCATTCTGGTATTGCAGTGGTCACATGATTGCCATCTGGGTTACAGCATCCCAGAGTTACATGATTGCCATTTGCATCCCATAGTTACATGATTACCCCGGTCACAAGTCATCCTGATCAGTAACTTCCACTGTCTGCCATCTGTCAGAAGCCACCCCCAGGCCTGCCATGCTTATGCCGCCCCTCGTCCCAGGCCTTACCTGCCTCCTGGCCTGCTTGCAAGCCACCAGGACTCAATAATCTGCAATCCTCATTTAACAGTGGCTACTGGGAGTGCCAGGTTTGCTGACACTAAGCAATGCAGTCATGTGACATTGTGCTTTATGATCACAATACCATAATTAAGCAAGGGCTGTCTGTATTATGAAATGCATACATACATACATACATACTTACATAAATACACACACACACATGCATACATATATTTAGGAATGCCAGTTAAAAGCACCACCTTCACTTGATTCTTCAACAATCATATTATAAAATCTATTTAAAATAGATTTAGAATTTTCCTCACATAAACCTTCTCCACTACACTTACCGTTAGAGCTGTTCTTAAAATGAAATATGTCTCTGGTAAAAAAAAAACCACTTAGCTAATTCTTGCCCATGCTTATCAAGAGACTCTAAACATTTCACGAATATTTTACATTTTATATAATTTGGGTACAGAAATTTGGAACAAATGAAATATATGAAGTGCTCCTTTTTTTATAACACTGCCGATTTAACCACTAAGTGAAATGTTTTACATGTCAGCGTTTATCTTATAAAAAATGATTGATCAAGACTGACCTAAGGTGAATGTGACTTTGTATGGAAAGTCAATAGATTTAGGTAGGAGAGTTTGGCTCTGTAGCTCTTTGAAAACAAAGCACAATGTCTTTTCTTAATGATCTTTCAAAATTACGTGTCTTTAAAGTTAACTTTGATAACTACGCTTAACACATAAGGTTGGCAAAAGTCTGCAATGTTCAATTGCTTTAGTTTACATTCTACGGTATGCTTTCATCTCTGCATTAACTTTTTTAGTTTAAACATAGATAGGTGTTGGTATTCTGATACCTGGCACTTAGTTCTGAGTAATCTATTTGCTTATCAGGATCAACATAGGTTAGTCTCAGTGAATCTTTAGGCATTTGTAATGATGACTTTTCTAATGGGAGAATCAAGTACATATGTATCTTCACTGACTATATATTAACTCTTTTTTCTCCCCTCCCCCCCACATTATGTTCTAGTATTGATCCTTGAAAAAGTAGAAAATGGAGACCTGAGCAACAAAAATTTGAAGATCACTGATTTTGGCTTGGCCAGAGAATGGCATAAGACTACTAAAATGAGTGCAGCTGGAACATATGCTTGGATGGCTCCTGAAGTTATCCGTTCCTCTATGTTCTCTAAAGGCAGTGATGTGTGGAGGTATGTTTATTAACACTAAAACATTTTTATAAGTGATCATCATCTGTAATATTATATTCTTGCTGCATTGAAACTCTCAATTGTTGATTTTCCAAACCTTAGGTTAATGTTATGTATATCTGGTCTGGGTTATGAAATTCACATATTCATTTTGCAGACTTTATTCTAAATTTGCATACATACATTTCAGCATAGCTGAAAATTTTCAGCTTCTACTTCCTGTTGAACATGAATTGTAGACAAACCATCAATAACTGACTGTTCCGTTTTAAATGTATTAAAGCTTGCAATCAAAATATCGTAATAAACGTGACATTTCCAATTTTCTAAATTATGCTTGGTTTATGTTGTAAAGTGGATTGCTGCATGAAAAAGGGTTTTCCTCACTACTTTTAACTGCTTGATCCATCCAGCATGTATCCAAGAACATGCTGTATTCACAGATCTGTTTTTAATGGGGCTCTGCCATATCTGTCTTTAATTAAAACCTGTTCATGAGAAGTCTGACCTGGTACACATTATTGAAACCAGGCTGGACACTAAGGGGAATGCTTTTCTTTGGAAAGTTCTGAGCCAGATTTCAGGTATGATGTTAACTGTAATCCCAAGATAGGGGTGAAGGAGTGGCTTAGATCACTTGTGAGATCCATAGGGTTGTGGTTTCCATAAGTGGTGCTCCATTGAAATAAGTGGGCAACAGGGGTCTTAGATTGAGCTAAAATTGTAATGCAACTGAAAAAAACTATATTCGCAGAATTCCTCAGTCAATGAAAAAATCTTCTTTAGAGTAGCCGTATCACTATCTGCCTTAAATGACATAAAATCGTATAAAAATTCTTCCAGATAAACATATTTTTAAATGTTACATTCATAATAGAGCTAACTGAAAGCAATCCCATTCACTTATCCCCATTTACGTTTTTTCCATGTGTACATTATCTTAATTGCATTGGAACATTATACATATATACATAAGAAAACAATGATTCCAGAATATTGTGTTAGAGAACGTATACTACATTAGTCATTCAACTTCTGTTTGTATTCATAGTTTTGGGGTATTGCTTTGGGAACTATTAACTGGGGAAGTACCATTTCGAGGAATTGATGGCCTAGCAGTAGCATACGGTGTTGCTATGAATAAACTTTCCCTTCCTATTCCTTCAACATGCCCAGAACCTTTCACCAGACTGATGGAAGGTAAGAATGTGTCGAACAAACTGGATCTGTCAAAATGCTTTTTTACACAAAGATAGCTCTGAATATCTGCTGATTTTAATAACCAAGACCATAAACCGCTTGTGCAGGTACTTGAGAAATAGGGAGTAGGCAGTATGTCAGTTGCTTTTCCTCTTTTTAGAAGAGTCATGCTTCTGCTTATATCTATGAATATATAATCTAGAATTATATGGCAATTGTATATCATATGGGAGTCCTTGACTTACAGTTGAGTCCAAAATTTCTGAGGCTAAGCAAGAAAGTTGTTAAGTGAGTTTTGCCCCATTTTATGATCTTTTTTGCCACAATTGTTCAGTGAAGCATGCAGTCATTAAGCGAATCTGGTTCCCTCCCCCCCATTGACTTTGTTTTGTGTGTGTGTGTGTGTGTGTATATATATATATATATATATATATATATATATATATATATATATATTAAAACAGTGAAAAACACACGAGCACCAGGGAATGTGGTAAAAAATTTTGGTTTAATGTTAAAATTACTAAAACTACTAATAAAACCAATTAAAACGCCTAGCTTTCGTCAGCTATCTGCTGACGTCCTCAGGGCTCAAAATGTCAGTCCAACCCCTCCAACCCCCACATTACCCCCAACGAACAACTGACATCCGGGGGAGACACGAACGACAACCCGAAGATCCCCCACCCCCCAGAACTGGCGAACAACACCCCCAGGAGATTGAGGGGACATCATACGGAACAAAAAGGGGAGGTTGCCCTTTAACATCTGACACGCCTCCCCCCAGGCAACTAAGCCCGACAGGNCTGTAGCTCTTTGAAAACAAAGCACAATGTCTTTTCTTAATGATCTTTCAAAATTACGTGTCTTTAAAGTTAACTTTGATAACTACGCTTAACACATAAGGTTGGCAAAAGTCTGCAATGTTCAATTGCTTTAGTTTACATTCTACGGTATGCTTTCATCTCTGCATTAACTTTTTTAGTTTAAACATAGATAGGTGTTAGTATTCTGATACCTGGCACTTAGTTCTGAGTAATCTATTTGCTTATCAGGATCAACATAGGTTAGTCTCAGTGAATCTTTAGGCATTTGTAATGATGACTTTTCTAATGGGAGAATCAAGTACATATGTATCTTCACTGACTATATATTAACTCTTTTTCTCCCCTCCCCCCCACATTATGTTCTAGTATTGATCCTTGAAAAAGTAGAAAATGGAGACCTGAGCAACAAAAATTTGAAGATCACTGATTTTGGCTTGGCCAGAGAATGGCATAAGACTACTAAAATGAGTGCAGCTGGAACATATGCTTGGATGGCTCCTGAAGTTATCCGTTCCTCTATGTTCTCTAAAGGCAGTGATGTGTGGAGGTATGTTTATTAACACTAAAACATTTTTATAAGTGATCACCATCTGTAATATTATATTCTTGCTGCACTGAAACTCTCAATTGTTGATTTTCCAAACCTTAGGTTAATGTTATGTATATCTGGTCTGGGTTATGAAATTCACATATTCATTTTGCAGACTTTATTCTAAATTTGCACACATACATTTCAGCATAGCTGAAATTTTTCAGCCTCTACTTCCTGTTGAATATGAATTGTAGACAAACCATCAATAACTGACTGTTCCGTTTTAAATGTATTAAAGCTTGCAATCAAAATATCGTAATAAACGTGACATTTCCTATTTTCTAAATTATGCTTGGTTTATGTTGTAAAGTGGATTGCTGCATGAAAAAAAGTTTTCCTCACTACTTTTAACTGCTTGATCCATCCAGCATGTATCCAAGAATATGCTGTATTCACAGATCTGTTTTTAATGGGGCTCTGCCATATCTGTCTTTAATTAAAACCTGTTCATGAGAAGTCTGACCTGGTACACATTACTGAAACAAGGCTGGACACTAAGGGGAATGCTTTTCTTTGGAAAGTCCTGAGCCAGGTTTCAGGTATGATGTTAACTGTAATCCCAAGATAGGGGTGAAGGAGTGGCTTAGATCACTTGTGAGGTACATAGGGTTGTGGTTTCCATAAGTGGTGCTCCATTGAAATAAGTGGGCAACAGGGGTCTTAGATTGAGCTAAAATTGTAATGCAACTGAAAAAAACTATATTCGCAGAATTCCTCAGACAATGAAAAAAATTTCTTTAGAGTAGCCGTATCACTATCTGTCTTAAATGACATAAAATCGTCTAAAAGTTCTTCCAGATAAACATATTTTTAAATGTTACATTCATAATAGAGCTAACTGAAAGCAGTCCCATTCACTTATCCCCATTTACGTTTTTTCCATGTGTACATTATCTTAATTGCATTGGAACATTATACATATATATATATATATATAAGAAAACAATGATTCCAGAATATTGTGTTAGAGAACGTATACTACATTAGTCATTCAACTTCTGTTTGTATTCGTAGTTTTGGGGTATTGCTTTGGGAACTATTAACTGGGGAAGTACCATTTCGAGGAATTGATGGCCTAGCAGTAGCATACGGTGTTGCTATGAATAAACTTTCCCTTCCTATTCCTTCAACATGCCCAGAACCTTTCGCCAGACTGATGGAAGGTAAGAATGTGTCGAACAAACTGGATCTGTCAAAATGCTTTTTTACACAAAGATAGCTCTGAATATCTGCTGATTTTAATAACCAAGACCATAAACCGCTTGTGCAGGTACTTGAGAAATAGGGAGTAGGCAGTACGTCAGTTGCTTTTCCTCTTTTTAGAAGAGTTATGCTTCTGCTTATATCTGTGAATATATAAACTAGAATTATATGGCAATTGTATATCATATGGGAGTCCTTGACTTACAGTTGAGCCCAAAATTTCTGAGGCTAAGCAAGAAAGTTGTTAAGTGAGTTTTGCCCCATTTTATGACCTTTTTTTGCCACAATTGTTAAGTGAAGCATTACTAAAACATCAATGCTGACGTCCAGTGATAGAATAGAAATAATTCATGGTTTATTCTATTGCAGGTTTCATAAAGCATAAAGCACATCTTGCTCTATTTTAGAAATCTTGGGGAAATAGTGAAATATTGATGGCTTGACACTGATGTCTTAGTAATATCCATTTTTAGTTGCTGAAACCCTATGGTTTGGGATTAGAGGTAGCCTGATTTTTTAAAAATTCAAATAGTCTATTTAACTTTTTTTTTAATAAATGAAGAAATGTATAGTAGCATTTTAGACATTTTTCTTCTAATGCATCTAGGTAAAGATAAAATTGGGAATTATCTTATTTAAAAAAGCTTTCATTTTAATTGTGTTCCTTACCTATTCAGATGCACTCAGCTGTTAAATGTGATCTTTTTACATTATCTCATATTTTAGCCTATATAATAAAAGCAAAAGAAATATTTTCATCCTGTATTGAACCAAATTAAACCATTTTTTTTTGTTAAAATGGTTTGTATATTTGTACCTTGATACCAAATTGGGTCCCAGTATTTTAAACCGGTGCTAGCCGAGCCGCGAACCTCTGGCCGGCACTAGCTGAGCTGCGAGCCTCTCGCTGGCACTAGCCGAGCTGTGAGTCTCTCACTGGCGCTAGCCGAGCCATGATCCTCTCGCTGGCACTAGTCGAGCTGTGACCCTCTCACCGGTATCAGCTGAGCTGCATGCTGCGCACCCGCGTTACAATCCTATTTGTGGAGGGTGCATGCTCATGGCCCCATTCGTGCACACGTGCATGCAGTCACATTTGCTCATGGGTGTGCTCATGTGCGCATAAAGGTGCCTGCCCCTCCCTTTCCCACCGGGCCGCCAACCCAGAAAGGTTGGTGACTCCTGATTTAAAGTATCCAAAAAGATTTCCAGCAACATAAAATAATGGTAAATCACAATAATTAAACAGAAAACAGTAGCATTTACTAAATGTAAAATACAGCAGATAAAATGTGAGTATTCAATAGCTGAATAAAATTGTGATTTACTAAGCCTCTTTGAAATACTAGTGAGCAGACTAGCATGTGCTTGTTAATGAAGCTTTACAATAAAGTAGAATTAGTTCATCTAGTCCTATTTCCTGTCTGGATTATCTGGGAGGGCTGACATCAGTCTTGCAAATCTGAAGGTGCAATTTCCTTCCATCACTTTTAATTGCTTGACGAATTAGGGTGGGTCCTTCCTAAATTTCTTTCTCTAACCGTTAAGCCACTGGGGGCTCCTGCCTCTCTTGCCTGCTTGTTTCCAAGGCAGCAGCATCTCCTCCTCTCATTCCCCAAGGTCTCCCATACATACATTCCATTACATAAGATGGAATATAACCTACAGCTACATAATGGGCACAGAAAGAAACTCAGGAAGGAACCTCCCTTGCAAGATTGATGTCAGCCTTCCCAGATGGATCAGACAGAAAATACAACCAGATAACTTAATAAGACTACAGTAACATAATCTTTCAAGTCTGATAGTACAAGCCTCCTGCCTTCTTTTTTACAGCCTGAGAAGTCAGGGGGTTTCTTTGCCTGTTATGCAGCTGCAGGCTATGTCCTTTCTTATCTGCTCATTCCTTAGGCATCACCTCTTCCCCTTCTCCCAAGGTCATCTCACATGCCATTATACACATATTCCAACAAAAGAGGACATGTGAGTATGTAATGGGAACTGAGATGATTAAGTGGAATGTTAGTAATTAAGTGCATAGTTCATTAGCAAAGCTTGACAAATACTGTACTATTGTAACTTCTGAATTAGAGTGATTGTTGGCTTTGTCCTGTTTAGATTGTTGGAATACTGATCTTCATTCAAGACCATCTTTTGCAAATATTTTGAATAAACTAACTAATATAGAAGAGTCTGGTTTCTTTGAAATGCCAAAAGAATCATTTCATTCCCTGCAAGAAGATTGGAAAATTGAGATCCAGGAAATGTTTGACCAACTCAGAGCCAAAGAAAAGGTAATTAGGTGTGAACTGTTACTTTGATAAGCAATTAACCACTTCTGTCTCAGTATCCATTGCAAGTAAAGTAGTTTTCTCTACAACACAGACAGAACTATACTTATTAAATCTGAATTCTTGTCTACTTCCCATGAGAAGAAACATTAACATTGAATAATTAAGAAAATAAAATGCATACTTGTTCCTAAATAAAATTGTTTTAGATAAATATGATCTAACTGAAACTGGAATATATTCAATTATGAAAGACAATTCTGGATAAGGTCATTGTGAGATATAATAGAACACATAGCCCAAACTATATAAGTTATGTGAAAAGACTGGTTTTGTATATAGGTAGTTCTCGATTTATGACCATAATTGAGTCCAAACTTTCTGTAACTAAGGAAGACTGTTGTTAAGTGGGTTTTGCCCCATTTTACATCCTTTCTTGCCACAGTTGTTGTGAATTACTGCAGTTAAGTTAGTAACATGGTTATTAAGTGAATCTGGCTTACATGCACACACACGTATATGCAGATTAGAACCCTACACGAAGAAAGAGAAAGGTGATCAAACTGAATTTAAAAAAGACCACGGAACATGAGACATTATTGCTGATGTACATGGGTAACCGAGAAGACCAAAAAACATCAAAAAGAAATCACAATGTGCTTCATTCATTATAGAACGATTTTGGATTGTGTCAATCATGTCAAGTTATGGAATGTGCTCAGAAAAATAGGACTCCCAGAATATCTCATTGTCCTCATGAAAAACAGACAGAATATGGCAAAACAGACTGCCTCTGGGTTAGAAAAGGAGTGTGACAAGAGTGTATACTCTCTTCTTATTTATTTAGCCCACCTGCTGAATATATATGCAAGGAAGCTCAATTAGAAGATGATTATGGTTTTAAAACCAGAGAAAGAAAAAGCAAATGATTCTTTTACCTATAGCCAAAAAAGCAAAAGATCAGCAAGATCTAATAATAAAAGTCAAGGAGCACAGTGAAAAAAAGGGATGTCTTTAAATATAAAGAAGTCCAAACTAATGGCAACAGGTAGAACAATCAGTGTTAGAACTGGCAATGAGGATATTGCCAATTTATGATCAACTATCAACAGTATAAAGGAACAAGTAGTCAAGAAACACGTCACAGACTAGCATTTGGTAAAGGCCTTGGAAAAAATCTTCAAATGCTACGATGTGTCTATCTCTACAAGGATCAGAACAATGCAAGCCATGGTATTTTCTGTGACAAGCTATAGAAGTGAAAGTTGAACTTTGAAGAAGCAAGATAGAAAAAGTATTGATGGCTTTGAACTTTGGTACTGGAAAAGACTCCTGAGAATACGTGGACAGTCAAGAAAACAAATTGATGACTCATCAAACAAATCAACCCAGAGTTCTCATTCGAGGCACAAAAACCAGGCACAAATTACCCTATTATACAGTATGTGAAGGCCTAGTTCTCTGGAGAAGCCCTTATGTGAAAGGTAGAAGAAAAGAGGAAGACAACCAGAAGCAAGATGAATGGACTCGGTTACAGTAATGGTTAGTGCGTGTTGAAAGACTTGGTTAGGGACAGGATTGTCATGGAGAAAATCTGTGGTTGCTAAGAGTTGAAAACAACTTGATGGCACATAATTTTTAAAAATCAACATAAACAGTTGTCTTAATTATTATTTATTTACACATACATTCAAGTTATTTTTTTTTGTATATGTAGATAACTCACTGAAAGAAGTTCATGGTTGGGCTAAATGGCGTAGATATAATTTCTGCTATGATTCTATTAGAAAGCTTGTCTTCCTATTTTAACAGGTTAAAATAAAATAAAAAAAAAAAGCTCATGATAATAAAATTATCAAGATCTATAACATGAGAGAAGTTTAAAAAGGGCTTGGTATCAAATTTGAAAGGAGGTACTGAGTATAGCTAAAGATTTAAAGTACAAGACCTTTTTTCATATCTGCAAATTAATCTCTGGAGCTATTTAATGAAGTGCTACTGTAAGTGAACTGCAGAGTCTGAATCGCCATTAGCTGGCAACCAAAGAAATACAGAGAACTTCTGTGGTTTGGTTTTTGGCAGCTCCAGTGTATACAGACTTGATGAAAAGTAATAATTCTGCTGCTTGTTATTTGTCTACTCTACTTATTTTATAATTAGCTAGATAATCTGATTCCCACTCAATGTATGAACATTTCTTTTAGTTTTTTTTAATTTTCCACTGTACAGGTAGTTCTCACTTAACAACTGTTCAAGTTACAACAGACTGAAAAAAATTACAACCCATCCCCAACTTTATGATTGCTGCATGAACGCACGCACGCGCACATACACATACACACACACAGTGTCATGTGATCACATTTTGGGTGCCTGGCAACTGGTTTGCATTAATAAGCAATTGGATATGTCAGAATCACTTAACAATCATGTGACTTGCTTAACAGGCACATGATTTGCTTAATGGCCATGTATTTGGTGAGTCACTTTACAACTATCACAAAAATATTTGAAAAATCAAGTCAGGTCATGGGTGACCTGCAAAACGACTGCAATAATTTATGACCCAAATTCCAGGCTCCGTTGTGGATGGTAAGAGAAGATTACCTGTCGTTGCTTTGAAATTTGATTCCTGGCTGATTTTAGAGATAAAGCTAACACAATTCTGATTAAAAAAAATTAAACCATTCATATAACTGACCTTTAATCATTCAAATTATAGGTATTTAAAATCTGTTAACTACCACGTGCACGTTCAAAATGTTTTGTTTTGTTTTCTGAGCCTTTCAGTTTATAGAAGGCCTAATTTTGCTACCTCAGTTTTTAGATTGGTTTGGGACTTGTTTTCTTGTAGGAGCTGCGGACATGGGAAGAAGAGTTAAAACGAGCAGCAGTTCAACAGAAAAACTACGAAGAACTACTACGACAACGCGAGCAGGAGTTGGCAGAGCGAGAAATTGATATTTTGGAAAGAGAGCTCAATATAATCATCCACCAGCTGTGCCAGGAAAAGCCCCGTGTAAGAAAACGCATGGGCAAATTCAGGAAAAATCGGCTCAAGTTGAAAGATGGCAATCACATCAGTCTTCCCTCTGGTGCGTTTAGGAAAACAAAATAAAGTAATGATTGCTTCCTTCCAGATTTATTTATTCATGAAAATATACGACGTGTGAATAATTATCTGATTGCAATTAAAACATTCTTTAATTCAAGCTAGACGTCTGGTGACTTTGTAGGCCTAGACCCAGGGGTAGGCAACCTTGGCTCTTTTATGACTCGTGGACTTCAACTCCCAGAATTCCTGAGCCAGCATGGCTCAGCGTGGAAACCTCTCCCTTTCCCCTCAGCATGGCTGGCTCAGGAATTCTGGGAGTTGAAGTCCATGAGTCATAAAAGAGACAAGGTTGCCTACCCCTGGCCTAGACAAATTGTTCCCTTGGCAACAGTGTGAAGTTACAAACCTTCTTGAGACATCTTGGTCAACCCTATAATTCTAATATATTTTGGTAGTCTCCCGTCAAAGTATTAATAAGATTCAATTCTATTTAGTTTTAGGGATCAGCCCAAAGCAGCTAGGTACTACCAAACTGCTATGTTACTTTTTAAAACAAAAATCAGATTGTAAAGAAATCTCCTGTAATTTGGCAAGTTTCTAATTAAGGGATAGATCTTGATCACCAGGCAACAAGTAAGATTGAAATACCTTCTTCCAAATTTATACAAAATATCAATCTGAAATTGGAATTGTTTTGATCCGCATATAAGATAAACTGGGTCTTCAAATACTTCAACCAAAAATGTTATGGAATGTATAGTTTTTTTAAAAAAAAAGTATTGAAAAGTTCCTATTAGTTGACCTTCACTTCCAAAAGTTTACCCTAAAATAAAATACCATTGTATAAAAATTAAATATGTTATTGATCTTTGTGACTTTGCAATGTTAACAAGTGAGACACAGAAAAAAACTGTTTCCTTAGCCAAGATTAAAGTAGACTGTCTCTGATTTGGTCCAAGTCTAATGGAAATATTTTCAAAATAGTGCTGAATTTTGCTGGAACAAAATCTTTAATTTTGAACATCCCCAATAAGCATTTATGATATGGAACGTGTGCAAAATTAGCAGCATTTTCCCATCAAAGCAATGCTTCTCCTTCCTCTCTTCTGAATTAGCTTATTGAAGCTACAGCATGAGATGAATTTTAATACACCATAGATCCATAGATCACCATAGATCTTCTAGAAAAAGTACTTTACTGTTTCATTAACTAACTCATCAGGGTAACGTGTGGCATAATAAGTTTGATATAGAACAGGAGTGTTAAATTGCCAGCCCGTGGGCCGGTTGCATCATGCAGAGGCTGCGCCTACCCCAACTCCGGCAATGCGAAAAAAGTCACAATACGTCGTGACACCTCATGTGATGCAGCAAGTTTGATACCCGTAATATAGAAGAAGACATGGCTCTAATATATTTTAATAATTGGAAAACCGATAATTTTTCTATTGGCAATGTTGCAGGATTAACACTAAATTCTCAACTGAAATGAGCAGACTGAAGTATATATGTGAATGACACAGTACCGCACTGTATATCTTTTCAGCGTTAGCATTACTTCACTAATGATTATATTTAATACATTTCCTTCCATAACAGATTTCCAGCACAAATTCACTGTGCAGGCATCTCCAACCATGGATAAAAGAAAAAACTTGATCAACAACTGTGCCAGTCCTCCTGCCAGCCCTACTATCATTCCTAGGCTCAGGGCCATCCAGTGTAAGAAATTTTAGTTGCAATTTATAAAAAAATGTCCAATGCCAAAATGAAACTGTTGAGTTTCTGTTTTAAATAAAGACACCATGTTGCTTTCTATATTGGGGAGTTTTATTTATAGCTAATCCTGATGGCGCTGTTGTGTCTCATTATAATTCATTTTTAACAGCTGATTGCTTGCTTCTATCTTTCTGCCATTTTATCCTTAACATTATGGGTTTAAATAGACGTGCATAGCTGTCACATGTGCACTGCAAGGGACAATATAAGAGCTGGCGTAGAGCTGGTGTAGAATCTATAAAAGTGGTGTAGAGATATCTAAATTTTTTTGGGGGGTATATACGTATACATACACACACATACACACTATCGTGTATAATCAATATAGATGGAATACAATAAATATATACATGGTAAAGTAAGACATGTAAATAGTAAAAATGAGAATTTTCATTATCACTCTCTAAACACTAAGGCAAATACAACATTTATTAATGTGAGTTGGAGCTTGAGCATTTTATTTTACAGAATGAGAATATTCCAGAGTTCCTTCTGACTGATGTCAAATGAATATTCAAAGAGTGTACCATAATCAGGAGTGCCTAGGGCAATCATTATGGTGGCCAAGCCAATCACTCTATTTTGTGTTTTGCTCCTATGTTGTACAAAGCTTAATGGGTTTGCTGGCCAAAAGCAAATTGACAATTATGTAATTCTTTTAACAGCAGTATGCTTCGGCAATGACTAAACACAGCCTGCAATAATTTTGCTATTGCATTTTGCACTGGCTTTTATTTTCAATCTGAAAAGACCACCAAAAGTCACTGGGAGTCAAAAATGTAAATTGTGGTTGTTATTATTTGTAGCAGTATGACATTATACTAATGAAGTATAAGTTTGCCAGCGTGAGGATCCCTGATACTCAGTGCTTTTTTTCTAAGAAAAAAAAAAAAGTGCCGGAACTCACACACGTCATACAACCTGCCTTGCCTACCCTACAAGGTTCCCTCCCAAAAAGGTGCCGGAACTCCGTTCTGGACGTTCTATGAGAAAAAAAGCCCTGCTGATTCTAACTTATCCCTATATAAGAACAGCCACAAGTAGNCTTATTCTGTCTGTCACTACATGGTGCAACATTGATTTATTATTTTCACAACTTCTCTTAATGCAGATGGAACATAAATGTGTTTTGCTTTATTTTTTAAAGATGTTTTTCCCCCAGCCCAGTGCATCAGTTTCGAACTGATTGTCACAAGTTTGGTATGATCTTTCAGAGGTGAATAGGATGTCTTATTTAGCTTTTTAAAAAAAAGCTGGAATGGATGTATGTAAAGTGGTCTGACCTTTAATCAAGTATAGAGATCATTTCTCTTGAAGAAATAAACTGTATTTACCATCCTTGGTTGTAATTGGCCCTATTTGCAGCATTTTTCTTAAAAAAAAAGAGAGAAGACCATGGCTTTCGGCAGCAAGAATATGTTCACCCCTATTCCATTTGCAGAGCATAATAAGTATGTTTGGACATTTATCCTCCCATCAGTTTTTTTTTCTCTCAACTTCTTGCAGCAATCTTTTGCTATTCCATTGTATTATTTGAGACTGAGTTTTACTTGCCTGAGAAATGTTCTCTCCTTAAATATACATCTGAGAGAGAGAGAGAGAGAGAGAGAGAGAGAGAGAGAGAGAGAGAGAGAGAGAGAAATAGCAAATGGCTGCCTTCCCTATGAAAAGTCTTTTCCCTGGCTAAGCTGGGTGAGAATGTCTATGAACAATTGAAATTATGGTTTGTAAATTTTCAAAAATAAGTCCTTCATAGTTTATAATGTACAAAATGTCACTTATTACAACGTTGTTGTAAAATGCTTACTTTTTTTTCTTCCTCTAATCTTGCCTTTCAACTTCAGTAACCCCTGGTGAAAGCAGCAAAACCTGGGGGCGCAGCTCTGTGCTCCAGAAGGATGAGGAAGGAGGAGAAGAAGAAAAAAGAGGCCAAAAGAAAAAGGGTCGGACCTGGGGGCCAGGTACTTTTTGCAGTAAGGAGCTAACATCAAGTGAGGATGGGTAAGAAACACATCTGCTACTGTGTCGTGAGTTTTCAATGTATATCTGGCTGGGTATAATATATGTACAGAGAGAGCTGGTTTGACGTAGTAGTTAAAGGTATCAGTCTAGAAATCATGACATTGTCAGTTCTAGTCCTGCCCTTGGCACAAAGCCAGCTGAGGGACCTTGAGTTGAACACGCACTCTCAGCCCTGGGAAGAAGTCAGTGGCAAACCATTTCTGAAAATGTAGCCAAGAAAAACCTCCAAAGAATTGGAAAGGCAGTTCAGTATCTTTTTAACGGGTAGCTGTAAAAAGTACTCCCAGAAATGTATGGTTTAAATTTTCATCAAGTACCTTTTCATGCAACCACATGAACTCTTCCACAAACAAAGTTTGAATAGTCTTTTTCGAATACAATATTCTTGATGATTTTAATAGGCGGAAGGCAGGAGCTACTTAGAGAATGCAATGCTGTTCTGAAAAAAACATAAAGTGAAGAAGACGTGTTTCATGATCTTTTCTTGGTATCTCCAATTTCGTGGAAATGATTGCTAGGCAATCACTGTTTCTTTTCCTAATTTTTTTAAGCTTTGGGAAAGTGTTAGAATAATCCTATCTATCAGGCTGGAAAAAGAATATTTTCAGGAGTGGTAGTCTTCAATTTACGGCCACACTGGGACCTGCATTTTCATTGTAAATTGTTGTGGTCTTAAATCAAGTCAGACCTGATTTTACAATAATTTTTACTGTGATTGTTAAGCAAATCACACAGTCGTTAAACAAAAGTGCATTTTTTTTGCTGACAGTCGGCACAAAAAGTTCACAAAGTGTGATCACATGATTGAGGGGGTGGTGCAATGATATAAGTGCAGGTACAAATCATAAGTACAAGTCATGCTTTCTGAGGCCATTGTAATTTCAATGGTCATTAAAAAAATGGAAATAACTTGAGATTGCCTGTAAAAGTAAACCTGCCCTATACTTTTCTTACTCAGGAAGAAACTGACTAGTGCTCAAGTGAGGCTGAAGTATACAGAAATGTGATGAATAGACAGTGGAAAGAAAAGAGATGTCTTTCTGCTCATTAAACGATGAGCAGTAGTAACACATGACCATATGTCTATATTATATATAATATAATATATTATTATTATATATATAATATTATATATTATATATTATAATATATCTCTATATTATATTCATTCATTCCATGCAAAGTATCTGCATCTGAAGGCCCATCTATTCCGTGCGACCGGCCTGGCGTAGTTTGATTATGTTTTAGTGGGGGTTTTTGTATGGGGTGTTTTTAGAACAGGCCCGTTATTTAATTTGGTTTTAGAACAGAAACTATTTATTTATTATTGTGGTTTTTAGTATCGCCTGTTCACCACCTTGAGTCCCGTAAGGGAGATAGGGTGGTATATAAATTTAATAAATAAATAAATAAATAAAAAATTATATCAGTGGAGGAGCCAAGATCAGATACTTCGATAAAAATGGTGAAAATAGTCATGACTCAGGCTCTACTCCTTTTATATGTATGTGCAAATTATTTTATTCTATTTTATTTTATTTAAGTTGGACCTTTCTTGACTCCTACCAATTTTGGGCAGCTTGCAATAAAAAAACAACCAATTTCCCAAAGCACATAACAACATATGGAAGACCAGGTCAACAAAACAAATACATTTTACACCCACTAGGGTAGAGGTCCCCAACCTTTTGGGCACCAGGGACTTGTTACCTGGAGAGAGGTTTTTCTGTGGACTGGAGGGGGTGTGGTTTTGTGTGCTGCCTGCATCCCACAGATGAGGCTTTGCTTATTTGTGCGGCCCGGTTGCTGGCATGCTGTGGCGCAGTACCGGTCCATGGACTGGGGGTTGGGGACTCCTGCACTAGGGTTTCCAACTATCCTAGCCCAATGCCTAGAAGCCAGGCAGGTTTTTGAGACCCTCTTGAATGCCGCCAGAATGGGAGCTACCCAGATCTCAGAGGAAACCTCATTCCACAGAGCAGTGTCGTGAGATGCAAACAAAAGGCTACAGTAATGTTATAGTGGTACAGTGTTGCATTCATCATTTGCCTATCTCTTTATGCCCCGTCAGATATATTTGTATTTAGCATTATTTCTAAGAAGCTGTAGTAACTTTAAATGAGTTGACTGAGATTTTGCTGAACCTTTATAGACAATATTCTAAGAAACTAGAGAAAAGACTGAACTATTTTCTGCCATCCTTTAGTGAGTAGTTTTATGATTACTGTGGAATGTCAGTCACTTTTGACATGTAAGCTGATTTGGCTGCTCAAGTAGATAGGTGCAATTATTCAGATGTTAATTTGCATTTTAATTGTGTTTTCAAAATATTTTAAATTACCTTCTTAACTACTTTATTTTTTAAATCTTGTTAGTAACCATAAGTGCGCTTCTTTATGAAAAGCATTTACATTATTTTGTTCATTTTCCTTGTCAACAAAGCTGTATTGATCTTTGATATATTAATTTTCAGTTTCATGGCTTTCACTGTATCATATCTTTTGTTATAAATCATTCAGATTCTCAACTTACATGATTTGTGGAGTCCTTGGTATTTTTGAGTGTGCTTGTTTTCTTGCAGATATTTCATTACTTGACTAGATAACATCATCCATGTTAGTCATGTTTGCCTCCTATTTATATACAGTAGCTTGTCCTTCCAAAGCTGGTAGGGGTGAGATTTTCTCCTTGGTAGTTCCTTGATTATAATAATAATAATGATAAAGTTGGAAGGGACCTCAGAGGTCATCTAGTCCAACCTCCTGCTCAGGCAGGAAACCCTATACAATTTCGGACAAAGGGCTGTCCAGTTTCTTCTTAAAAACTTCCAGTGTTGGCACATTCACCGCTTCTGGAGGCAGGTTGTTCCACTGGTTAATTGTTCTAACTGTCAGGAAGTTTCTCCTTAGTTCTAGGTTGCTTCTCTCTTTGGTTACTTTCCACCCGTTGCTTCTCGTCCTGCCTTCAGGCGCTTTGGAGAATAGCCTGACTCCCTCTTCTTTGTGGCAGCCCCTGAGATATTGGAACACTGCTATCATGTCCCCCCTCGTCCTTCTCTTCATTAAACTAGACATACCCAATTCCAGCAACCGTTCCTTATATGTTTAGAGCAATGATGGCGAACCTTTTAGAGACTGAGTGCCCAAACTGCAACCCAAAACCCACTTATGCATCATCGGGTGCCGGGTGGGTATGGCCCATTGGGTGGGTGTGGCTCATGGGGTGGGCGTGGCTGCGGTGGTAAAGGCAGACTGGGTGGGGCTAAAAAGTTCAATCAATCAATTCCAACTTTGCGAGATCTTTTTTTTCCCCGCGAGGAGTTGAAATTGACTGATTGATTGAACCTTTTTTTTTTTTTTTTTGCACATGGCGGTGGAGGCCTAAAGCGAAAAGGTTTTATAAAACCCAGCTGAAGGCCTAGGACTGGGGCGACGGCGGGCGTGCCCACAGAGAGGGCTCTGAGTGCCGCCTCTGGCAATCGTGCCATAGGTTCGCCACCACTGGTTTAGAGTATTGCTTTTTGCTTGATTGCTTATCTGGTGTTAATCCCTGCTTATCTGGGTATGGACCTTAAATGTCACATTCACAATTTTACCCCCAGAATTTAAGCCTCTTCACTTTATCATATTCTTTCCCTATGCATGCAAACACATAGCAATATTTCTTTCTCACTTTTAGCTTACTGCCATTCTTTTTTTCGCCTCAGGCAGATTTGACTTTTTAATTTGTTTAGGCATTCCAAAATCCTGAATAACCAATATCGTTATCAGTATCATCATCATAATCAATGATGGTTGACTGAAATAAAAATCAGATTGGATTTTATTAACAAATTAATTATGTTGAGGTTGTATCTATGTATTGTATTGTATTGTATTGTATTGTATTGTATTGTATTGTATTGTATTGTATTGTATTGTATTGTATTGTATTGTATTGTGTCAGGGCTTATGCCAGTGGTGGCGAACCTATGGCATGGGTGCCAGAGGCGGCACTCAGAGCCCTCTCTGTGGGCACTCGCGCTGTCACCCCAGTCCTAGGCCTTCAGCTGGGTTTTATAAAACCTTTTTGTTTTAGGCCTCCGCCACCGTGTGCAAAAAAAGAAAAGGTTCAATCAGTCAATTTCAACTTCTCGCAGAAAAAAAAAGATCTTGCAAAGTTGGAATTGATTGATTGAACTTTTTAGTCCCACCCAGTCTGCCGTTACCACCGCAGCCACGCCCAGCCAAAGGACCACGCCTACCCGGCACCCGACGATGCATAAGTGGGTTTTGGATTGCAGTTTGGGCACTCGGTCTCTAAAAGGTTCGCCATCACTGGCTTATGCTAAGGAAAATCTCATATGTTTAAATAGATAACTGGGGTGAATTTCATTTTTAATGTATAATCTATAGAGTGTCAAGTAATTTTAATGTTTAATCTATAGAGTGTCAAAATGGACAAAAGCAAGCAAGCTGCTGCATTTATTTAGTTTTTCTTCTCTATATTTTAGCCTAAAGTCCCTGGCAGATGGCGCTAGACAGTGGTCATCTAGTGCTCCAAACCTTGGAAAATTCCAGCGAACAATAGTCCCTTTTCCCGGATTTGCAAGCCTAGTAGAGATGGGTAAAGTATATGTTAAATTAAATATATAGCTTTATTTTTATTTTTTTTTAATTTTTATTTATTTTGCTTTATTTCACCATTTGTGATAAAGAATCAAAACCCTCTCAAATATCTCTTTCTAATGACTTTTTTTTTTAAAGACTCCACTTAGCAGTCTGTTTACTTCACTGGCCAAGTTGGGACATATTTAGCTTCCCCATTCCCCCAGAACTGTCACACTTATTAGAAATTTGGGGTCCTTGGGAAAAAAATTAAGCAAAGCTCTTAATATAGAACAAATGATTCAAAACATCCTATTGGCTTTTAAGAAAAATCTCTGATTTGTGCACATAAATTAAACTAATAGCCAATGAAACTTTTTAAGAGCATGCGATTTCAGAGGTTAATTCCCTTTTGCAGCTTAAAGTCTGTANATTAAATTATTATTATTATTATTATTATTATTATTATTATTATTATTATTATTATTATTATTATTATTATTATTATTATTATTATTATTATTATTATTATTATTATTATTATTATTCATGCAATCACATGAACTATTCCACAAGCAAAGTTTGAATAGTCTTTTTCGAATACAATATTCTTGATGATTTTAATAGGCGGAAGGCAGGAGCTACTTAGAGAATGCAACACTGTTCTGAAAAAAGCATAAAGTGAAGAAGACCTGTTTTATGACCTTTTCTTGGTATCTCCAATTTTGTGGAAATGATTGCTAGGCAATCACTGTTTCTTTTCCTAATTTTTGTAAGCTTTGGGAAAGTGTTAGAATAATCCTATCTATCAGGCTGGAAAAATAATGTTTTCAGGAGTGGTAGTCTTCAATTTATGGCCACACTGGGACCTGCATTTTCATTGTAAATTGTTGTGGTCTTAAATCAAGTCAGACCTGATTTTACAATAATTTTTACTGTGATTGTTAAGCAAATCACACAGTCATTAAACAAAAGTGCATTTTTTTTGCTGACAGTCGGCACAAAAAGTTCACAAAGTGTGATCATGTGACTGAGGGGGTGGTGCAATGATATAAGTGCAGGTACAAATCATAAGTACAAGTCATGTTTTCTGAGGTCATTGTAATTTCAATGGTCATTTTAAAAAATGGTAATAACTTGAGATTGCCTTTAAAAGTAAACCTGCCCTATACTTTTGTTACTCAGGAAGAAACTAACTAGTGCTCAAGTGAGGCTGAAGTATACAGAAATGTGATGAATAGACAGTGGAAAGAAAAGAGATGTCTTTCTGCTCATTAAACGATGAGCGGTAGTAACACATGACTATATCTCTATATTATATATAATATAATATATTATTATTATTATATATATAAAATATATAATATTATATATTATATATTATAATATATCTCTATATTTTATTCATTCATTCCACGCAAAGTATCTGCATTATATCAGTGGAGGAGCCAAGATCAGGTACTTCGATAAAAATGGTGAAAATAGTCATGACTCAGGCTCTACTCCTTTTATATGTGTGTGCAAATTATTTTATTTTATTTTATTTTATTTAAGTTGGACCTTTCTTGACTCCTACCAACTTTGGGCAGCTTGCAATAAAAAAACAACCAATTTCCCAAAGCACATAACAACGTATGGAAGACCAGGTCAACAAAACAAATACATCTTACACCCACTAAGGCAGAGGTCCCCAACCTTTTGGGCACCAGGGACTTGTTACCTGGAAAGAGGTTTTTCTGTGGACTGGAGCGGGTGTGGTTTTGTGTGCTGCCTGCATCCCACAGATGAGGCTTTGCTTATTTGTGCGGCCCGGTTGCTGGCATGCTGTGGCGCAGTACAGTCCATGGACTGGGGGTTGGGGACTCCTGCACTAGGGTTTCCAACTATCCTAGCCCAATGCCTAGAAGCCAGGCAGGTTTTTGAGACCCTCTTGAATGCCGCCAGAATGGGAGCTACCCAGATCTCAGAGGAAACCTCATTCCACAGAGCCGTGTCGTGAGATGCAAACAAAAGGCTACAGTAGTGTTATAGTGGTACAGTGTTGCATTCATCATTTGCGTATTTCCTTATGCCCCGTCAGATATATTTGTATTTAGCATTATTTATAAGAAGCTGTAGTAACTTTAAATGAGTCGACTGAGATTTTGCTGAACCTTTATAGATAATATTCTAGGAAACTAGAGGAAAGACTGAACTGTTTTCTGCCATCCTTTAGTGAGTAGTTTTATGATTACTGTGGAATGTCAGTCACTTTTGACATGTAAGCTGATTTGGCTGCTCAAGTAGATGGGTGCAATTATTCAGATGTTAATTTGCATTTTAATTGTGTTTTCAAAATATTTTAAATTACCTTCTTAACTACTTTATTTTTTAAATCTTGTTAGTAACCATAAGTGCGCTTCTTTATGAAAAGCATTTACATTATTTTGTTCATTTTCCTTGTCAACAAAGTTGTATTGATCTTTGATATATTAATTTTCAGTTCCATGGCTTTCACTGTATCATATCTTTTGTTACAAATCATTCAGATTCTCAACTAACATGATTTGTGGAGTCCTTGGTATTTTTGAGTGTGATTGTTTTCTTGCAGATATTTCATTACTTGACTAGATAACATCATCCATGTTAGTCATGTTTGCCTCCTATTTATATACAGTAGCTTGTCCTTCCAAAGCTGGTAGGGGTGAGATTTTCTCCTTGGTAGTTCCTTGATTATAATAATAATAATGATAAAGTTGGAAGGAACCTCAGAGGTCATCTAGTCCAACCTCCTGCTCAGGCAGGAAACCCTATACCATTTCGGACAAATGGCTGTCCAGTTTCTTCTTAAAAACTTCCAGTGTTGGCGCATTCACCGCTTCTGGAGGCAGGTTGTTCCACTGGTTAATTGTTCTAACTGTCAGGAAGTTTCTCCTTAGTTCTAGGTTGCTTCTCTCTTTGGTTNTCACACTTATTAGAAATTTGGGGTCCTTGGGAAAAAAATTAAGCAAAGCTCTTAATATAGAACAAATGATTCAAAACATCCTATTGGCTTTTAAGAAAAATCTCTGATTTGTGCACATAAATTAAACTAATAGCCAATGAAACTTTTTAAGAGCATGCGATTTCAGAGGTTAATTCCCTTTTGCAGCTTAAAGTCTGTATTTTAGTAACAATCCTATACATATAATTTTAAATCAAGTCTGGAGTTTACAAACATACAGCTCATTATTATTGTTTCTTTCCAGGAAATATAGTGAAAACAACCGGTTGAGTGTGTTCCTAGGCCCCCCTCAGCCAACTGGATCAATTAACGTAATTGATCATTGCAGGGAATTCAGCCTTATCTATAACAGTTGAATAGCACCTCTGTCCTAGATAATCACCTACAAAATACAGCTTTCTTAGAACTGTTGTCTTTTAAAAGATATGTGAGTCAATATAGTTGCATAAGAAAGAATAGAGGATTTGTCAAATCAAAAGTAGCCTTTTGAAGTACTTCCTTGAATGAACAGAGTTCCGATATTTTGCACTCTATTCAAAATTCAGATTTCTATTGTTTTACCATGTTTCAAGATACACACAGTGGCAAAGTTAACCAATATGTATTTATTATATACAGTAGATGTTAAAAAGGTTTTGTGGGTATGCATCTGTATTTCAGACAACGAAGACAATGATTCTTTGAATGATACAGAGAGCAAGATGCAGCAATCCCCTGGATTTAACCAAGCATACCTCTGCATCCCATTTCAGAAGAATGACGACTGGGATACCCACTCTAGTGATCCTAATGAAGAGACTACTCCAGTGAACTCTTCCACAAGCACTCCTCAGGTCACTCCCACCAACAGCCTCAAACGTGGGGGCTCCCAGTATAAACAATGTCAATTGGCCTTTCTAGGCTGTGGGGCTGTGTTGGCTGCTGCTGGCCTTGGTTTTGATCTTTTGGAAGCTGGCAAGTGCCAGCTGCTAACCCAGGAAGATCAGGACATGTCCAAGGAAGAAAAAAAGAAACGTGAAAACATCTTCCAACGGGCTGGTCTGTCTCGGAGGAGTACAAGCCCACCTTCAAGGAAGATCTTCAGGAAAGAGGAACCCACATCCTTGTTAGGCGAACCATCCAGTTCTCTGACTCTACTCTCTTTGTCTTCAATTTCTGAATGTAACTCCACCCGTTCTTTACTTCATTCAGACAGTGATGAAATTGTGGTATATGAGATGCCTGTTAGTCCTGTGACAGTGAAGGCTCCCTTGCCAGTAGTTAGTAACCCACTAGTTAATATCCGAGTTGAGAGATTCAAACGGAATCCCAACCAGTCTTTGACACCTACACATGTGACTCTTTCCTGTGAAGCTCAGCAGCAGAAGCATAGGCGCACTCCCTCGGATGGTGCCATAAAACTGGCTGATCTCGTTCCTAATGGAGATTCTTCCAGTAATTCTCCATCAGGAGTGCTGGGAACAGGTAGGTTTTCCTTCTTCATTTTTATATTCCATACAAAGTGAGAGCATAAATGTCCTTGCCACTGCATTTCTGCAATAGTTGTTGATTCTGAAATAAGATTGAAGGACAAAAATAAGCTATTTTTGTACAGACAATTTGATCAGTAGAGAAGACTCTCATAGGTGCTGAAGGAAAGAAGGAAACCTTTATCCAACTTCTTTTCATCTTTCCTCATACTAGCAGGTTTATCTTTTTATTGTAGCTTCTGGTTCTAACTTCCCTTCCTATTTAGCTTCCTTTTAGCACAGTGGTTCTCAACCTTCCTAATGCTCCGACCCTTTAATACAGTTCCTCATGTTGTGGTGACCCCCAACCCTAAGGGCTCTCCAAACACGCACCGATGCCGCCCACTCACCCACCGCGCCCGGGGCTTGGCGCGCCTCACCTGTCCTCGCCTGACCTGCCCGGCTCCAGAGAGAGGGTGAGAGAGAGAGAGAGCCAAGAGGGCGACAGCGCCGGCAGTGCTTAGTTCAGCTTCCTCCGCGGAAAGGGCCGCAAAGCAGCGCAGCCTCCGATGCTCGACGGAAACGAATCTGGCGCTGCAACGGCCCCCAGCTCGAAGCCGTGCAGAGACGGATAGAGGAGTGGGGTCTCGGTTCCTAAGACCATCGGAAATATGTGTTTTCTGATGGTCTTAGGCAACCCCTGTGAAAGGGTTGTTCGACCCCCAAAGGGGTCGCGACCCACAGGTTGAGAACCGCTGTTTTAGCATGATTTTACTTCTTGCACACATTTTTCTATGCTTTAGAACAGTAGTTGTAGGGTTTCTTTCTATGCTTTAGAAAGAAACCCTACAACTACTGTTCTATTACTTCATCTTTTCTTTAGTGTTCCCAATGTTTTCTTCTACTCAAGGTTGCTTCTTTATTTTGCTGAATTCTACATCCTACCAAAAGATAAAATTCTCTTGTGAATTAACCAAACTGAGCTAATATGACTAACGAGTGGCACTAATTACTCAGATGAATGAATGAATGTGCATATATTTTATAGCAGCAGAAAGATGTTCCCTGCTTTTAATTAAGACAACACATTATCTTAAAAGCAAATAACAAATATTAGACTTCCTGGAGCGACCCACAGTTTCGTTAAATCTCAAGGAAGCTATTTCATTCTTTGGCACAACTACATTATAAAAATCCCAAAACTGTTTGATTTCTTGGGATATATTATGGTTGATGAATTTAGCAAAGATTTGTTCTCTCCATAGAATAATAATAATAAAGCCCTCTAGCTAAAAATAAAACAAGAGGAACTGAAATAAAGAGTAACTAAGTAGTTGGGCAGCACAAAAACAACAAAGTTGGCCACATTAAAGCTTGTTCCAAGAAGCAGCTACCACAAGTATTTAAAAAATGCCAATACTGTATATTAAATATAAGCACCAGTTCACTGCAAGAAACAAACCAACTGATGTACAACACAGCTGTAGTTTTAACTCAATACCTTAAATGCAAAATCAACAAGAAAAAAGCTATTAAAAACCCAGTAAAATGGAAGATCAGGTTAGAAAATAAGGTCAGTGTGCTAAAATCAGATGCAAGCAAGCTAGAACAGGTGAAAGAAAAGAAGCTTAAGAATGAGAAAGCCAAAGAATGCCTAATCAAGATATATCACCTAGAAATAAGGAAAATCAAGAAGTCACTGAAAATAATAAAAGCAGCAAATAATAACCATAGCCAAGAAGATCAGCAGATAGGAGGCTCATGTTTGCAGCTTTAAGTTCGTTATAAAATTGATGAAGGTGGGATATAAATAAATAATTAAATTGTACACACTATAGTCAAATAATAAAGGTTTCTACCAATCCATCAATGGAGAGACTGCAATGAACCAGTCAACACCTGATGAAAAAGAAACATTACAATTCTGGGTGCAGCTTATGGGACACCCTAAAGAAATAACAAGAATGCCGCTTGGGTAAAGAAGGTGGAAAGAAAAAAAGCTGAAATGAAAGAACTTGCAATAAGAGCAGAAATGATACAGAAAAGGGCAAGGAAGACCAAGAATTGGTGAGCACCAGGTGAAGGTGAACTGCATGGGTTTTGGTTGAAATAGCTGACTGGTCTGCACCTACACATTGCCAGGCAGTTTAATAACATACTGCCAGGAGGTGAAATTGAAGATTAGTTACAATTCAGCAAAACCTACCTGATAATGAAAGATTCAGCAAAAGGGACAGCACCAAGCAATTACAGGCCAATTACCTGCCTACCAACAACTTTGAAATTGCTAACTGGTTTGGTAGCTGATGCAATCCAACAGCATCTATTTGAAAACAAACCCTTTCCATCTGAGTAGAATGTAAACTATCACAAACAAAAGGAACAAAAGATCAATTCCTAATTGACAAGGTGGTTTTTGGAAAACTGCAAGAGAAGGAAAGTCTGCAATTTTTGGAAAACTGCAAGAGAAGGAAGTCCAACCTGAATGTAGCATGGATTGATCATAAGAAAGCATTTGACTCCCTGCCACATGATTAGATAAGTGCCTATTCTATTGACAGGAGCCAATAGAAACATCAGAAACGTTATGCTAAGATCAATATCACCATGGAAGACACAATTCCTTGGCAGGAGTTATAGACTAGGAGAGGTAAATATTAACAGAGAAATCTTTCAAAAAGATCACTCTCACAACTACTATTTGTCACTTCATTGATTCCTCTGTAAACACTGCTAAACAAGTCTGCCTATGGCTATCGGACATCAAAAGCATCTGCCAAGCTATCCCACCTCCTCTACATGGACGATCTGAAGCTATATGGAAAAACACCATCTGAAATAGAATTGCTGCTAAACACTGTCAGTATATACAGCCAAGATATTGCCATTGCCTGGATAAATGTACTACCCTTACCATCAACGGGGGAAATAGTGAAAACTGAAGGAATCAAGATGCCTCATGGAAATAATTTCAGGCATCTGGATGAAGAAGATCACTACAAATACCTAGGCATCCTTCAAGCTGAGAACATCAAGCCAATTGAACTCAAGAAGAAGGTTAGAAGTGAATACATCATGAGAGTGGAGAAGATCTTAAAGTCCAAACTTAGTGGAGGAAATGTCATCAAGTCAATTAACACCTGGGAAGTTCCAGTCATTAGATATAAGCCCTGGATAGGAAGATCAGAAAAATAATGACAATGACTCATGCCCTTCATTCACACAGCAATGTTGACAGACTCTTATTTACCAAGGAAAATAGGTGGGCATGGACTCTCGCAAATACACCTAATAGTTGAAGAAGGAAAAAGAGCATTGGAAGAGTATCTGAAGAACAGTGAAAAAGATGTACTGAAACTAGTATACCATATTGTTAACAAAAGTAAAGGGTGCCTTGGGTACAATCCCAAAGCATCTGGAGCATCACTTGAATGCCAATGATATTGGCAAAATCACACCAGTCAACTCCAAAAAAACAGCTTTAGTTTAAACAGCTTCCATACTATGAGAATACCTTTAACACCATCTAAAAACAACTGCCTATCTCAGGTCTTGGGAAGAACTTATAGGTGGATAAAAATGCCAAATCCACTCTAAGCATCTGGCAGATTGTGCACCCAACCTTAATAATAATAAATAATTCTGTCCCAGCACTGAAAATGACAGTATTTTAACTTACAGTTTTTAAGGCTGCAGATATAGATACTTAGATATTTAAAGGTTTCTAACCATGCCCTTGCAAATAATACCATGTCACCCTAGTTTTGTCCATTTTCTTAAGATATATTAAAATGCATATTACAATAAACATAAGGGTTACGATAAAATGAAATTTTCATTTTCTCACAAAATACTACTTTTTCCATTTGAAATATATAGCTATAAGTTTGTCATTTTATTGCATAAAACTGATACCATAACTTGGTTATTCTGAAGTTATTTTGGGTATATTAGTAAGATGGGGGAAAGTTCTCTAATTTCCCTATTTAAAGGAAAAATAAAAATGCTATAGACTTCACTATTAATACTATTTTAAATATATAATTTTTAAATTAATTACAGTTGCAGTTGAAAAGAAATAGCTTTTTTTTAAAAGAGTTCACAAACTTTTTTTTATAAATGGTCTGGATATAATCAATTTAGGGGGGAAAAAGTCCTGTATCTATAACTGAAAGAGACTCGAAATAAATCTCTTCCATTTCTTTGTTGTCTTTTTTAAGAGGTTTAAGTCAATATGCTATATACTACATACATACAATATGAAGTGTAGCACTTTGGTTTCCAAGAGAAGAAGGTATTTCAGCAGACATGGGGCACTCACGTGGCACCTGTTGGCTGTGTCTCAAACTAATAACGCCATTTCCCAGGACCTGTTCTCTGCAGCTGCAAAGCAGTCCTGGGAAAAGACATACCTGATTTAAGATGTTGCCACTTGGTACAAAGTGAGAGCCTTTCCAAAGCATTTTTTTTCCTTTTTGAGTTTTCACAGTCCTATTGTGCACCTGTTCAGGATTCTCAATAGTGCATGATAGAATCACTATTATTTACATAGCTTGTATCCTGCTGAATTTTGATGTATATAGTATGCAAATAAATGCTAATAACAAGGATAATCAATGCATACTCTTAAAAAGCTGTGTCAGTTTTCAAATATAGTTAAAGAACAATTTAAACTTCAAGAGACTCATAGGCTAATTACAGATAGACACTGCATTTTTGTTTGGAGGAAGCCCCATTTGAACTGTGAAATTACTGGTAAAAAAATGAGCTTTTGAGCAAAGGTTCCACCTTCTAATCATAAAAACTCTGTGCTACCCTGAAATCTAGATGCAGTATCTAGACACAATAAGAATTAATGAGAAAATGTTACTATTTTATTGTGGGTTTTTTTTGTTTTAGGTTGCTTTTATTAAAGCAGTGGCTAATGTTCCCAGCAGTTCTAAAGCAAGGAAGGATAAAAGTAGTCTTCCATTCTATCTAAAGCAGTAATGGAAACCTTTCTTTTTCAGTATAGATGTGCTGTTCTCTGTCTTTACCATCTATAAAATTTGGTTTTAGAGTTTAGTGCGAAGTTGTCCATATTGGAAAGATAATTCCAGCAAAAAGATACATAAAACTGCATGTTGCATATATGGCGACCATATAACTGGTCACTCTATTCTTGTACTTGAATTTGCCATACAGATTTGCTGGGATCAGCGTTAACAGTCACCGCAGCTCCTATGTGAACTGAATCCTCCCTCTGTCTAATACAGCCTTTATATACTAAATGATCCCAATGCCTCATTTCATCAGTGCTGTCTAACTGTTTGGTTTCTCTTTCTTCTCTCTCTCTCTCCCCCTTCCTTTCTTCTGTTTGTGATTTTTTTTTCCTGGTGAGAGAATAGGTATAATAAAAACACCCAGTCCAAGTCAGGGTCCAAATGAAGTCCCTCGACTGCCAGATCCCAACCTCATCTTCCCTCCAACCCCCAGGCGTTATAGTGCTCAACAGGATTCCTTGTTGGAGAGACCCAAGACCTTGGAATTCCTACCTAGGCCACGCCCTTCAGCTAACAGGCAGCGAGTTGATCCCTGGTGGTTTGCATCCCCAAGTAAGGTTAGGGGTGAATCCTCTGCTAATAGCTCCAGTACTGAAACTCCCAGTAACATGGATTCCTGCTTTGCCAGCAGTAGCAGCACAGTTGAAGAGCAGTCCGCGCTGCTTTCTTTTCATGTCAGACTGCCTGAAGAGGAACGGACACTGCTGGACATGGATGTTGAAGGTCAGAATCAGGACAGCACAGTGCCGCTTTGCAGAGCAGGACTCAGAACACGTAAATCTACAGCATATGAACTCAAGCAAGAATTTTGGTCCTAGCATGAAATCCACAAGGGGCTGGTAAGCTCCTTTTTGCTTCAGTTCTACTTCTTGCACTAAGAATGCACTTTCAAGACAGGTAAAGTAGGAAGTTGGTGCTGAGGCCATATCACATTTCTTGGCCCACTACAGAACTGGTATTGGGGAGCCCCCCTTTTTTTTATAGCTGCATGTGGCTGAGCTACACAGAGTTGCTGACTCTTTTTCTGGGGTTTCTTGTAGTCCTTGTTAAACTGCAACAAGCAATGCGATACATCTAAGCCTCTGTTCTTGATTTTCAAGAATACTATGATAATTTGCAAAAGTAGACATCAGTGTTTATACACTGTTGCAGAGCAGGAAATTATGTAAAAATGACCCTGCACCAGCACTCTTGCCACACGATATATTGTTTTTCTCTCTCAGTGCTCTAAACCAGGGGTGTCCAACCTTGGCAACTTTAAGACTTGTGAACTTCAACTCTCAGAATTCCCCAGTTTGAATTCTGCCAGTTGAAGCCACAAGTCTTAAAGTTGCCACGGTTGGACATTCCTATGCTGGACTTCCTTCTTCTCCTTCTTCTCCTCCTCCTTCTCCTTCCCCTCCTCCTCCTCCTCCTCCTCCTCCTTCTTTCTTCTTCTCCTCCCCCTTGTCCTCCTTCTCCTCTTCCCCTTTTTTTCTCCTTTTCCGTATGCATATGAAACTTCTTTTGAGTCTGAATATTGTAGGCGTGGGGGATTCTAGGCTATCTGCAGGAAGCCTTCATTTTTTTAAAGTTGACAATATTGTGGGTTTTGACATCACAATGCAAGCCCTGCCCCTTACATATTTGTAGTACAGCTCATATATAAAAGGGGCAAAGTTTGTACTACACCTTTTATCATTTGCCCCCCTCGACTCCCCCCTTCACTCTGGGGGATTGATTCCTCACAAATAATGAACTTGCCAATGTCATATAAAGCATGCATTCTACTATAATGATTTCTGTTGAGATATAAAGAGCCTTGAGTTTCAAAGTTGCCTATTTTACAGCTCCTGAAGTCAGCTATTTTGGATGGGTAAATGAATGCAGGGTTACATCAGGGCAGATTCACCAGTGGGGTGTACGGTAGTGAGGAGGCTCTGATAGTGGAAGAATTGGGGCACTGTGATACTTTGATCTAACCCAGGGGTAGTCAACCTTGGCTCTTTTGTGACTCGTGGACTTCAACTCCCAGAATTCCTGAGCCAGCTGTGCTGGCTCAGGAATTCTGGGAGTTGAAGTCCACGAGTCACAAAAGAGCCAAGGTTGACTACCCCTGATCTAACCCAATCATGGAAAAACACATCTTCAAAATTACAGAAGGTTGGGGTTGCAATTAGAAAGTGGTATAATTCAATGAAAAAAAGCAGACATAGAATTCTGCATTCTCTGCAGAGATTTTGGCAATATTTTGCATGAAAAAGGTTGTTAACTGCACATCCTTTTTTAACCTAATCTTCTGATTAGGAGTCTAAAGTTTTGATACAAATCGGTTAGCGATGTAAGGCAAGCAACGTGCATCGATCTCTTATTCCCATATTGTTCTATGATTGGGTCTATTTCTCACTTTCTTTTATTTCAGCTGCTGTGATATTTGGTTTTTAAAAAGATCTGAAAAAACTGTAACTCATCTCGTAGACTTCAACTCCCAGAATTCCTGAGCTATGCTGGCTCAGGAATTCTGGGAGTTGAAGTCTACAAGTCATAAAAGAGCCAAGGTTGCCTACCCCTGGCCTAGGCTATATATTTAACTTCAGCTTGTGGGATGCTTTCTCCTATTGTAACTATTTTGATTTTTAGTTGATAGTTTTTGTTTGACAATGAGTGGCTACAGTTCCTTACTTTGAACCCTAAGCTGGCCACTTGTGAAGAATGTTATAAAAAGTTTTGGCACCATTGTTGCCTAAAAACTAAACATGAATTCTGACAATTCAGGCTTAACTTTGCTTGTGCCACCAGCTTCTTGTATGACATTGGGCAAATCATTTTGCCATATGTGCCTCAGTTTCTCCATCTGTACTAATAGCTACCTCATGCAACAGAAGTGTAGACTTACTGTGCAAGTGGGAACTTATGCCCTTGATAGTAGACAATTTATGTTAAGAAAAGTTACATATGATGAAAAATCTCTCTCTTTGTTATAAAGTATAGGCTAGGTAAATCTTGAACTAGTTCCATATCAGTTATTCATCTAGCTGGGCCTAGAGAATACAGTCTTAACAATCAGCATGGAGAAACACTTGCACACTGATGTAGTCTGGTGCAATGGCTTGTATCTTTCTGGGGTCAAATGCTACTGTTTTGTATGCTTAACATTTCATCTCTATATTGTTACAATTATAAGCATTGGCCAGCCAAGGATAGACAATTCCTAAGCTGCTAATGGTGGTTTGAACTTTGCACTCATCATAATCATGTTTGGTCTTATCACAATTCCATTTTTTAAACAAATGGAAGTCATTTGGTATGGCTTTAATGAAGAAGGTGCAGTGGAACAATTGGAACTTTGGGTAATCAGGACTGTGAAAAATCATTTTGTGGGACATTTCATGAAGTGACTGAAGCACCCTCCAGATTCACTATTCAAAATCAGATCCACAACGTAGAACAACTTCAGAGTCACGTCGGTAAAACTTTTTGAGGGAGTCAATAGACTTGTACGTACATCCGGACAAGGACTTCGTTTGGCTTACCAATTATTTGGGAATCTTAGAGGTTCGAGATTGACGTACTAATTGTAATATCACGTGTAACGTTTTTAACTGAGATTCTTGTCGTCTGAATGGTTTAAGTAGTTATTTCCAAATTTCATGTTTGTTATTTTATGTACTGATTTATTTGAATTTCACTTTTTTTCCAAAAACTTCAGGGCAATGTATGTTGTCCTCTCCCATTCCATCTACCATATCTTTGCAATAATGTGATTTATTAAAGATCTCTCAGTGAGATTAATATATCTAAATTAGATTTAAAATTTGGGTAACCCCAGTTCAAGTTCATCTTTCAAACACTATGCCTTGAGGTTTCCTGCCTGAGCAGGGGGTTGGACTAGATGATCTCCAAGGTCCCTTCCAACTTTATTATTATAAAAATATTAATGAGCAGAGAAAGATTCTAGGAAAGAAGAAGTCAGATTCTCATATGCTTTATCCTTACCTACAGTATATATGAAACCACTGGGTTTCAATGTAACCTGACAGGCAACAAATCTATAAGGCGATTGCATTGTTAAAGGTGAAGTACTTTTTAAAACCTTATTTCCAATTCCCATACTTACCTCCAACCGATATCTCACAGGAAATCCTCTACCATAAGCTTTTCAGCACTTCAACACAATATTAACACATGCACACACACACACACACACACACACACATAGACATAGACATAGACATACATATACACATCTATATATAATGTATATCCCCAACTCCACCATGTATTGCACTTTGCTAGGGGAAAATTCCAAAATTATTTGTGCAGCTTCTGTTTATGAATATGCAAATTATTAATGCCTATTTTTTCATGTCAGGAAAAAAATGGACTTGTTATCAAGCTCTCCACCTGAGGAAAATGCTGTATGTTGGCTAGAGAGAACTTTTCACATATACATCCTTCTTTACAAAACCTGGAATTTGTGACATCGTAAGCTAACGAAACTGTGGCTTGTCACAATATGTTAAAGCTGGTATTTTGCATCATGATTGGGCACATAAGCTATCCATGTTTTCCAAATGAATCTTTCATATTATTCCATACCTATGAGCAAACTATTTTTTTTTCTGTGAGGGTAGAGTGTGGTCATCGTATTACCCTATAAAAGAGCAGAAATTTAGCACACTGTAACGTAAGTATCAGCATTATTTAAATGTTTGTGTGCTCTCCAAATCTGAGATTAAATGTCTTCAATGGATATACTTTGATTGTTTATTGGTGCCGTCAACACGCACACGTGTCCATATGCACAAATTTGGTAGGCAAAGTTTTGAGGATTGTTGTGCACAGTTGCAGACTCTATATATTGATTGTGCATTTGATACCTTCAAGAATAATTACAAGTAAGTGATCTGTTTCTTCTTTTATATCTTGCCACATCTAATTATATGTAACGTGTGTGTGGGGAGGGGCAGGATGCTTATCAAATTGACTCCTTTCAATCTGTATCTGCTGAAATTTAGAAGTGTAGATGGGCCAAAATCTACCTGCTGTAGTCATTATTGGCCTTCTCTGAATCTTTTTTTTCTCTCTTAATTGATTGGGTGTGATTAGGTATTATTGAAAGACTGCTCATGTGGAATAATTGTACACGCGTGATGTTATTTCACAGGTTAGGTCCTGTGGTCTTGCATGCCCTGGTTTGGAATGCTGCCATTTTAGGTTGATGTTAGTTTAGGTATACATATCAAGTATTTTGCGTATAGAGGAGGTTGGATTCTTGGTTTCTTCTCATTCAGTCTGGCATGATAAAATCCATTGGGGTTTCTGTCCCAATATGATGTTTGTTAAAATCTTGCTATAAAGGCAGTAGTACAGGAAGGTCTGTTTTTGTCCCAAGTTCATGTTACAAGTTTTGGTATGCTAAACACTCTGTGTTCTTCATTTTGTGATAGTGGTTAAGTGATGTGGAAGTTTGCCTTTTTGTTTGTGCTCAAGCAGCAAGTTAGGTTTTCCCACCCACTCATTAAAATAAAAAATTTTTTACAATGTCGGACAGCGGAAACCTCAAATTTTTATAACTGTCGTCACTGACCAAACAAGATGATAACACCTATGTAGTTGTTCAATGTAAAACACATTAAATAACATAAAACCCAAAACAGTTACATAATACATATATAGAAATAACACAAAATTAAATAAAATAGCCAGCAAACAAAATGTACATTGAATAAGCTGATTTCCTTTTCTCTTTTTTCCCCTGAATGTATTGGGGGGGGGGGGGAGGTAAACCAAGGATGCCAAGCAGGCTTGGTTCAATGGCTAAGACTACCATTGTATT